TAGAACTTTCGCTGGAGTATCCGTTGGATTTTGAATACTATTTTTTTCGATTTCACTAGCACCACCTCAACGGTTCTTCTATTCGTTTTATTTTTTGTTGTTGCGGTTCCAAGTGGAGGAGCTGCGGTTCTGCTCGAGATGTGGCGAGTGATGTACTGTGCGGCGGAAGGTTGAGCGTCCAGGCTTTTATATCGGCTTTTATGCCCGAAATCAACAAGTGGGGCTGTTGCCGCCGCCGCCGCTGCCGCTGCTGCTGCTGCTGCTGCTCCCTCGGACGAGGGACGATGGGACAAACGGACGTCCACTTGGACTCCACTGGGGCTTTAATAACAGTTATGGCGTCGGCACAGCCAGTGGCAGCGATGGTGGTGGTGGTGATGGTGATGTATCTGCCTCTGTGTCCGTGCTCGTATCTGTATCTGCCGCTCGTGCTCGCATCCGAATTCATCGGGTACCCCGGTCTCCATCTTCGTGTGGTGCCCAAAAGGGGGTGGCTCTTACTTGTTGCTCCCCGTTTGATTGATTGATTCTGAAAAGCAAAAGGAAATCGCATGCAAATTTATTAGTTTAAATCATCACATTTTTCTCATTAATATTCGCAGTTTTAGTGCAAGATTTGATGCGGATCGCACTGGTAAAATGGAAATCAAAATAAAATGCATGCCCCAAATCCATAGATATATATATTCTGCCGGAGTACGGTACAGTACGGTATATATATCCCTTCGATCCCCCGCATTACCATATGGCTGCAGCCGCCATGCTGATGGGCAGGATCTATAGATGTCGGTGTGAGTCAGTCAATCAGATGTCAGCAAGTGCCCACCTCCGGATTTGTCCAGGTTTTTAATGCAAGAATTAGTTCCATCTGGTTTCGGGTTTCAGCTTCAGACAATGGCGGATGTCACTCCTCGTGGCTATTGGAAGTTAGGGAGCTGGAGCTCTACAGCTCCATCGATGACTCTGGATGAGCACATAACTGCGCCAGACCTGCTGGGGTCTCCGTCTCCATCAATTGCTTGGACATTCGAGACGATATTTGCATTCCAGAGTCCGAACAATTGCACAAAGATCCCGCCGCAGACGAAGCTGCAATTGATTTTGGTGTGGCGTCAATTGAAATGCACTTCGGAGTCTAGGAGTCGGGAGCACGGAGAAAAAAATTACCAGGAATTCGAATCCTTCTCAAAAATATTAATATATTTATGTATCCCCCTAATTGGAATTATTATGCCATACTAATTGCTAATTAATTTTGGTCATAAGTGGCTCCATTAAAAAAGGGACCCTTATCCCCAGCATAATGTCCATGTCAACAATATAAACCCAAAACAATTGTTAGGCCTTAAAATGTAACAACGAGCACTGTGCAAAATATTTAAGTGCCTACTTTGGACTCTTATCTGTCGCCGAAATATATTTATATTTGTATAATATAACTATTGTATAATTCATTAAAATATATATAAAAATGTCACTGAAATGTGTCACCAATTCCAAGTTCATTCGCAGTGCAAAAGATTATATTCCATTAGTATATATTGATATAATTTTAATTTACTTATACAAGAAAAGAAATAATATTATATACGCTTATCTGTGAATATAATTGAAATGAATAACTTAGAAATAAATATAAAATTCTATCAATGGCGACGATAAAGAACTTTCTGGTTTTTTAAAGTAAGTAAGTATCTTTCAACAGTAAGTATCTTTCAACCGTAAGTATCTAAGACTATTAAGTAACTATGAACAGTAAGTATCTATGAGCAGTAAGTATGTATAATCAGTTACTAACTTTGAACACTAATAAACAATGACTTGCAACTTTTGTAACACAACACATTTCTGAGACTTGGCCGCAGCAGTCACTTCGTTCTGGGGATGTTAAAATCAGTTGGGAATCATATGCACAGATGTGCGAGAAGTAAGTAAGTAACTCTGAACAGTAAGTATCTATGACCAATAAGTAACGATGATCAGTAAGTATCTATGATCAGTAAGAATCTATGGCCATTAAGTAACTATGAGCAGTAAGTATCTATGAACATTAAGTAACTCTGAACAGTAAGTATCTATGACCACTAAGTATGTAAAGGGGACCATGGCAATAAGCAAATTAATTGGAATATAATATTATAATATAATAACATAATAATATACAAGTCATGGCTAAGACTTACCGCAGTAGAGGACACGTGGCTCTTTCGTCATCGCTTACTTCCTTCAGTGTAGTGACCAAGATTGGGTGACTTCATCCTGGTCATCCAGATCCATGGCATTGGCCACGTCATGTTTTTGAGGTTGAAGGATGATCACTTGCACTATCACTATCGATGTTAACACTAGGTACCCCTAGGACAGACTGAGGCGCGCGCGACCTCAGCGCCACTATTTATAGTTCCCGAGGAGAGAGTGGAGCAGAGAAAGTGAGTGTGAGTGGGCGGGAGAGTAGGAGTTGTCTCTAGAGATTAACATAGAGCGATAGGCATACAGAGAGAGGAGGAGAGTCAGAGAGAAACAGCGAGCTATTTAATTAAGTAACTATGATCAGTAAGTAACTCTGATCGGTAAATATCTATGACCAGTAAGTAAGTATGATAAGTTACTTACTTTGATCACTAATAAACAATGACTTGCAACTTTTGTAACACAACACATTTCTAAGACTTGGCCGGCAGCAGTCACTTCGTTCAAGGGATGTTAGAACCAGTTGGGAATCATATGCACATATGTGCGAGAAGTAAGTAAGTAACTCTGAACAGTAAGTATCTGTGACCACTGAGTAAATATAATCAGTAAGTATCTATGACCAGTAAGTAACTATGATCAGTAAGTATCTATGATCAGTAAGTATCTATGGCCATTAAGTAACTATGAGCAATAAGTATCTATGACCAGTAAGTATTTATAATCAGTTACTAACTTTGAACACTAATAAACAATGACTTGCAACTTTTGTAACACAACACATATCTGAGACCTGCCTGGCAGCAGTCACTTCGTTCCGGGGATGTTTGAACCAGTTGGGAATCATATGCTCAGATGTGCGAGATTTGTTTTGGAACAAATTTAAGCTATTTGAATGAAACCATGGAGCTATTCTTCTATATTATTTTACTAATATATGAGTCGGAGCATGGCGGATCGGTGGACTATATATATATACATATATATAGCTGCCATAGACTCAATCGGAAACTTTTAAGAACAAATATGATAACTTTTAAAGTTCTCAACAGATTTTCGTCAATTTGAATATATACCCATTATGAATTAATCTAGAATTTTGTGTAAAATTTTATGAAAATCGGACTACTATATCATATAGCTGCCATACAAACGATCTTTGAAAATAGAGGAAAATTATATATACTGTATAATTTATATTGTATAAAATCCTAGTGATCGACATGCCGAAGTTAGCTTCCTTTCTTGTTGTAGAATCATAGAAATAGAGTACAAGGTAGCCCTAGCGCTCTTTTTAGGCTGGCTTTACCGTCTTCAAGTGTATCTTAATTTTATTGAAAAAAAAACCCAACCAAAAATAGTCAAAAGGAAGCTAAAATTGAGAATAAAATTCTTATATTGTTGGTAATTTTTTTGCGTGTGGGCCTACGTGCTCCAAGTGGCCCGCCACCGTTATATTCAAATGAAGTGGAGCTCACGCAATCACTGCCGGCTGAGCAAAGCTGGGCAGACACTCGGGGAAAGTCATCATGGTGACCAGACCACCATTATGGTGGGGGAAGAACATCATAATGATATCGTTGGGACCTTGCCACCGCAAAATGGTTGACCTAGCAACAGAAGGAGCCACCGCCCGTGGAGAAGCAGCAGCCAGCAGCAGCCAGCAGTGGCGGGCAGCAGGAATAGGGGCATCAGGGGCACAAGGGATTGGGAGTTACACACCCACCAAAATCCTACATAGATATATGAATGTATCTTGCTCCCTCGGAGTCGCCCACGCAGTCGCGCAGCCAATTTGGCCATCCGTCAATAGGGCTTCATTTGAATTGCCAGCTTGTCTCCAATTGATGATGGGTCGGGCCCACGCTGCTAAGTCCTTGCTTTGGCCCAGACCCGCCTCCAGGCACCTCCTCCAGGCCTCCTCCCCCAACCATCTGCAATCAGACAGCAGCATGGCGTAATTAAACCCGCCGCTGTCACAGTTGACATCTCGTGGCGTGTGACATGTCCGCCGCTCATTTATTGGCAGCATTGTGTGTTCGTCTTAACCATTTCACATATAGTTACTATTTCTGTATTTATATTCACATATTCGAACTCGGGGAATCGATGCACGTCTGCCGTCTATCCGGCTATGGAAAATCCCTGGATATGACACATACACCGCATCCCAGAAAATGGAAATTACATTGAACAATTGCGATCTAGGGAACTGTGAGCTAGGGCGTGCGGAAATCCCATTCAAGGAGGAGAGGGGATTTTCATTAATACCATATAATCTTTGCGATCATGCAACAAGACTCTGTATTTCATAATACAGAAATTATATGGGTTTTTATTTTACAAAATGCATTCGTTTAGTTTAATTGAAGCGGGTAAATCCTGATTACCAATTGCCAATAATTTTCAAAGTAGATATAAGCTTGAATTTCATAGATTTACAAATAAAATCCAATAATTTAAAACTTTTAATTAAATTAATAAGTTAGTAATTTAATATTTATATATATATATTTATAAATCCCATTATGTTTATATAGAATTATAAATGAAATCCTAGAAGAATATATAGCATACTTTGAGGAAAGTCATAAATGTTGGCCTATAAAATATATGTTAAATGTAAAGTTGTAAATAAATTATAAGAATTTGTGTTTTATTAGAGAAGGTAAATAAAAAGTTTTAAAAATATTTTCAGTATTATGTTTTACCCGGCATTTGTTTTAAATACCCCAAATGCGCTGAACAATTTCCTACTATTAATCACATATACTTGAGAATCTTGTCACAGTGTCAAAATTTTTAATTACAAAATCAAGCGTTCAATAAAATTTTGTTCATTTCTTTTTTATTTTAATGTTTCTATGGGTGCTTGTAGTATCTCATGAACAGAATTCCGTGCAAGAGTTCCTGGAAACATAAAATAAAAACAGATTGGTGTAAAATAACTACAATATATTTACCATTGAAGGTTGCTCAATAATGTTATCTGCATTAATTAATTAGGCCACTTAAAAGGGGCAAAAAAAACCCAGAAACCACTTTAGAGAAACGCAAATATTTAATGTTTCTTTAGCTCGGATCATATTTATTTTTAGACTATGATCCCATGCTGTTTCTTATTCTTGGTTACCACTGTACATAAATAATTAAATGCTTAGCACATATGTACGTATAGAAAAAGCAATCTAAAGCTTTAGATTATTTAGTACCAAAAGCTATGAATGCCTCGAATGAAGTGAGCAAAAAAAAGCAACCAAAAAGCTTATACTATCTTTCAAGGTTAAAGCAGAAGTACACCCAACGAAAAACTGTAGTACAACCTGTTGCATTTAACAGGCGTTAAAGCTTTATGCACTCGAAAACCTGTTAAGCCCCCCGCCTGCACTGTGACTTGACAACTGAATCGAAGGGAAATAAACATTCAATCAACTCTATGAAACCCGAACTAATTGTTTATCCAATGCAAACATCGTCAACATTATTTTCTAAAGCTCTGCCACACTCGATTGGAAATGTTCGTAATGTGTAATTATTTGTTTTTAATAATCTATATTAATTATATTATTATATATTCCATAACAGGCTATCCTCAGCGTACAAACTCGATCAATTATTTGATAGGACTTAGTCGTATCGAAATGTTTAGAAGGAAGTTTCCATAGTGCTTGAAGGCACTGTTTAAATTTAACAAGTAAACCTCCTCAAAATTCCAAAGTATGCAAAAAACAAACTACAGAATTTCTTCGGGTGTAACCAATTTGATAACATCACTCATTCCAAAGCTTTTTATTTTCTATGCGCCACTCTCTCGGTCTCGGCGGTAGTTGCCCACCGGTCGCCGCCTCTCGCAGTTGAAACAAAAAACAAACGGGCCTTTAAATCGAGGTTATAACCGGATTTTGGCCAAAAGATAACCTGAAAACAGCTGTTACGATGAACCGTAGACTTCCAGGGACATTAAGGAACTGCAGCAGGCTCCTCCATGACGCCACTCTGACCAGATTCCTTTCCACAACGCCTAAGCTCTTCGAGCGGCAAGAGTAAGTTCAATTTGTTGGCAGGCAGGTTGTGAAAGTTTACACGATTTCTGCGAATCGGGAGAGCTTAGCAAATGTTTACTTTGGGTGCATGTCCATTAAACAAATTTAATTAGTATGTCTCAAGGGGGTTTGTTTAGCACGTAAGCTCCTCGAAGCATACCTAATTAATGGTGATAACGAAAAGTTAAGTTGTGACCCATGGATCGATTAGGTAGTTCCGTCTGCTTGATTATCAGGATGATGATGCCTTATCTAGATGATCTGGGTGTGGTCATGTGAATCCTCTCTTGCTTACTCTGATATTTCTGTCACAAAGAATACTTAGAACTTACCTATTCCTCTTGCAGATGTCAAGTTCTGGTTGTTGGTGGCGGCACCGGCGGCTGTGCCATGGCTGCCAAGCTCTCGTCCCGTCTAGGTAGTAACAAGGTGATCGTCTTGGAGCCAGAAGAGGTACGTAAGCATAGCAACCATACTTAATCCTGGAGATTGATCACCTTGCTCCGTACAGAAACACTACTATCAGCCCATGTTCACCTTGATTGGTGGCGGAATGAAGCGTCTGGAGCAGTCGTACAGGAAAATGGGTGATGTTCTGCCCAAGAAGGCGCGCTGGATTCAAGAGTCCGCCTTAAACTTCGATCCTGACAAGAATGAGGTCAGCACATCCGGCGGGAAGACCATCAAATATGACTTCCTGGTCATTGCCACTGGCATGCAACTGAAATATGAGAAGGTTAGTCCTTAAATTCATCATATTCTCTTGCATTATAATCAAGATCTTACCTTATAGATCCCTGGATTAGTGGAGGCCCTGGAGGCCCCAAAAACCAATGTGTGCTCCATCTATTCACCCAAATATGTAGATAATGTCTACGGTTGTCTGCGCAATACTTACAGGGGAAATGCGATCTTTACCTTTCCCCATTGTCCCATCAAATGTGCCGGTGCACCGCAGAAGATCGCCTACATAGCAGAGCACTATTTCCGGAAGGTGGGTTCTCCAATGTTTCTAAAATGGGGTATTAAATCTCCTTGATTTACTCCTATTCCAGATGAGTCGACGGGACAATGTGAATATAATTTACAATACTTCTTTGCCCGTGATTTTTGGAGTGAAACAGTATGCAGATGCCTTATGGAAGGTGGCGAAGAAGCGAAATATAACCGTCAATTTGAGCCGGAATCTCGTAGAGGTGAGACCCCAGGACAGCGTAGCCGTATTTGAAGATCTTGCGAAGCCCGGAGAGCGGTACGAGGAGGGAGTAAGTACTTCAAACAACTTAAAGCCATTATAAGAATCTACTTAATCCCTTATCCATCAGTACTCCATGCTCCATGTTTGCCCACCTATGACCGCTCCCGATGTGATAGCCAATTGCAAGCCGTTGGTCAATGAAGCCGGATTCGTGAACGTGGACCAGGCCACCCTGCAGCACAAAAAGTACAGCAATGTGTTCGCCATTGGTGATTCCGCCTCCACACCCAACTCCAAGACAGCGGCGGCGGCAGGTAATGTTCCGTTTTTGGAGTCGTAATCAATCGAAATCGGAATATTCAATGATCTTTGGAATACTCAATGTGTGCTTACCTTGCAGCTGCACAGTCACCGGTTGTGTTCAAGAATCTGATGGCGACGATAAAGGGAAGGCCGGGAAAGGAAGCTTATGACGGCTATGCCTCATGTCCCCTTGTCACCGGCTACAGCACCTGCATCCTGGCTGAGTTCGACTATAACCTGACTCCCGTTGAGACGTTCCCCTTTGACCAGGCCAAGGAGCGATATTCGATGTTCATCATGAAGAAGACCTTTATGCCGATTCTCTACTGGGAGCTAATGATGAGGGGCCACTGGAATGGACCGGCAACGATGCGAAAAGTACTCTCGATTTTGAAGCCTAAAAGTAAAAAGTAACGCATAATCAGGGTAATTCAAATACATTGGTATTTCAAGATGTTTTAAATACCAATGACATATATTGGTGTATATCTTGAACCAATATAAAACAAGCACGGTATTTAAAATACCTTCAAAATATTTTTTATACAAATCAAATGTATTGTTAATTGCTCCGCCACGCTCAGACCACTAATTTTAAAACATTAAAGAATATATGGTGAAATGTAAAAGATTGCCTATTATTTCATTAGTTATAAGTTGTTATTGCTGGAAACTAGAGTATTCCCATATGCTTTAAATATTTTTTAAAAACATTTCATTCCTAATTAAATAAGGAAATATTTTACCAATAAAACGTTTTTTTTTTTCAAACAGCGTAGTCAGACTAAGCAGTGTCCAGAAGTGTGAAACAGATTTCGTTACCAATCAAGCAGTTTAATAAATAGTAAGCAGTACTTTTGCTGTACATTTCAGTATATTTTACAATTATATTTTGCCGTATTTGAACCTGGCCACTCTAATCCACAGCGTGGCGTCGCTTGGCGCTGGAAATTTAAAGATAACGAACATAAAGAGCAACCAATTCGTGCTCCAAAACACATCTAAAACAGCTCCAAGAACAACATTTAGCCACAAAGAAAGTCAGACAACATGAAGGCAGTGTGAGTATAAAGTTACATATGAGAAATTCAATGCCAGGACTGAAAGTTCCTGTTCACAGACCCCGGACGCCTATGCGCGTCATTCAGAAAACGCCGCGGTTGCAGCAGCATACGACGGAGAAACATCGCAAGGACTCGTCCGAAAAGGCCAGAGATCCGGTAAATGTGTTCTGCCGCGTTCGACCACTCCAATCTGAGGCGGATCTCACCTCGCTGCGGGTGAAGAACTCAACAACGATTGCGTTAAACCCGCAAGATCAGCTGCTACACAAACATAACGGTGCCCAGCGCGAGATACAGTACATCTTCAAGCACGTCTTTCAGCCGGATGCCACGCAGCAAGATGTGTATGGATCGGTGGCCCAGCCACTGGTGGAGAACCTGCTGCGTGGCAGGAATAGCCTGCTCTTCACCTACGGCGTCACGGGCAGCGGGAAGACCTATACAATGACCGGTAATCTGCGCCATCGAGGCATCATGCCGCGCTGCCTGGACGTGCTCTTTCGCACCATCTCGGACTTCCAGGCCAAGAAGTTCGTCTTCAAGCCGGATCGGCTGAATGGCTTTGAGATTTTGTCCGAGGAGGATGCACTACTCGAACGGCAGCACGAGATGAATCAGAGGTTCGCAGGCTCCGGCCGATTTGCTTTCCGGCACAAGGACTCTGATCCGGAGATAGCTTCCCAGGCCTCTGTGGAGCCAACACCGCTGCTGGGCCTAGACGAGGACAATATGTACTCGGTGTTCATCACCTACATTGAGATTTACAACAACAGCGTGTACGATCTGCTCGAGGATTCAGGTATTCAGAAGTAAGTAGTGGTGTCTGGGAGTGACTTGAGGCAGTCCCTTCGGATTCCTTTGATTTATAACAAAAAATGGATCCCTTTTCTAGGACTTTGCAGAGCAAAATCATTCGCGAGGATGCCAATCGTCATATGTTCGTCCACGGCGTCACCGAGGTGGAGGTGAAGACGGTGGAGGAGGCCCTCGAGGTCTTCCAAATGGGCCAGAAGCGCAAACGCATGGGCCACACCGTTCTCAATGCAGAATCCAGCCGCAGTCACTCCGTGTTCAACATACGCCTGGTGCAGGCGCCCACAGACAGCCAGGGGGAGAATGTGGTCCAGGACAAGCAGAACATTACGGTGAGTCAGCTGTCCCTGGTGGATCTGGCCGGCAGTGAGCGCTCCTCGCGCACCAAGAACACTGGTGTGCGACTGAGAGAGGCGGGCAACATCAACAACTCGCTGATGACGCTGCGCACTTGCCTCGAGTATCTGCGCGAGAATCAGCAAGCGGCCGGCAATGGTATGGCTCCCAAGAAGATCCCCTATCGCGACTCCAAGATCACGCATATGTTCAAGAACTATTTCGATGGCGAGGGCCAGGTGTCGATGATTGTGTGCATCAATCCGAGGATAGAGGATTATGACGAGAATATGGTAGGTTGTTATATTTGCTCCTAGGTCACAGACAAGATAAAACCGTGTTTCCACATTTAGCAAGTGATGAAGTTCGCTGAGATGACGCAGGAGGTGCAGATTGCCCGGGCCACGCCCATGAAAACCGATTTGGGCCTTACCCCTGGTCGTCGCAAGGCCAACAAGCTCTTCAAGATCGCAGTAAACAATCTCAATGAGCTGGGCATACCCGAGGCCAAGGATCTGGAGATGGACGTAGGCTTAGTGTACAGTCTGGGACCTGATTTTCCGGCTTACCAGATGGACAGTCCCGAGGCAGAGGTCAAGATCCAGGAGCTAATGCACTATCTCGAGCAGCGCATTGAGAAACGCAAAAAGCTGCGATCCAATTTGGACATCAAGTGTAGGTCTTAGTTCGCTAATCTATCCAGAATAGCCATTAACTACAGCTTATCTCCTCCCAGGCGATAGCTTCCGGCAGATGCTGATGAACCTAGACCGGGAAAACCTACAGCTACGCACAGAACTCGCTTCCTTGAAGGCTGTGTACAAGCAGGAGCGCGATCGCAGTGCTGCCTTGGAGAAAAAGGTGCGCATCCACGAGAGCTCCATCGATGTACTTAACAACACGCTGAGCAAGCGGGACCGGCAGATCGAGGAGCTGTCGTTCAAGCTGAACGAGAAGGAGAGCCAGCTCACCCAGAAGGAACACGAGAAGGAGAAGCAAAAGAAAAAGTTCAGCTCCAAGCTGGCCGTGGAGTCGGATAAGACCAAGCGAGAGTTCGAGCATAAGCTGCGTGAACAGCGGGCGAAGCTAACGGAACGGATGCGTATCAAAGACGAGAAGCTGCGTCTGGTTTCGAACATACTGCAGTCCGAGGATCTGCCCAGTCTGCCGCGCTCTCAGAGCTCCGAGGATATGCTCAATGAGAAGGACCGCGGTGCATTCACAGCGCGCACGGAATCCTCAGTGCCGGCAACACGAACAGATATTTACGCCACGCCACGTCATGTAAGAAAACTTTTTTAGTCGTCCAATATTTCTTAATCCTAAGCTTCTTACCAACAGGGCGCTGCAGCTGCTAACAATCGACACCGACGCTCCCGATCCGCTGGCGACAAGTGGCTGGAGCATCGGGCTGCCAATCCCGTACCGCTGGGCACCATCATGCAGCCATATCTGAAGAACCGCAAATCGATCACGAAGCTAACCGACATGAAGGAGCTGACGGCCAATGGAGCCAACAAGTACTGCCTCGTCTCCCAGGAGGCGGATACGGACGGTGACGTTGAGACGAAGTTGTACAAGGGCAACGTAATCCCCACCTGCGGTGGCGGCGCCCAAGTGGTGTTCAACGACGTGGAGTGCCTCAAGCAAAAGTCGCCTGTCCATTCGCCCACGAGGAAGCGACCCAGCAATGGCACTTTGTCCGCTCTGGGCGGAGGCGGTGCAGTGCCCAGCACAATCACCTCGGTCCAGGACGTGGCCTCGCGTTGTAACCTTGGCATCGAGGGACACAGCAGCAAGAAGTCAAAGATCTAGAAAAGACACCTGAAGATACTTAACGAGAAGCGTTTATCAACTTAAAATACTTTCTTAGCTTATAGTTAACTTAAAATTAAGTTTATTACTCATTTATTATGGTTTTGGAGTTGAATCGCATTGAAGTGATTTTTTGTTTGATTAAAAAGTAAAGTTTAACCTGTATAAAGAAATACCCATAAATGAATTCGTAACCTCGCACAAGGATGAGGATTCCTTGCTCACTAACCGCTGCTAACCGAAGGATAGCGGCGTAGAGCTCTCAGTGGAAACTATCCCAGCATCGTACATGCATTCTTGATAGAATTACGCTAATTATGTACCATAAAGTATTGAATATTTTATTGTTTTTTGGAGTAACCAACCTCCACTTTATGCAGTCAAGTTAATAAATGAAATTAAATAAAGTAACCACTTAAAGAACCATTCTATGATAATTTTTTGGCACAAATTGAAATCTAAAATTACCATAACTCAGTCAAAAAATAATTAATTTCAATTCGGAAACCATTTCTTTGTTCGTTTTTGATAGGGTAATAAATCTGCATACTCAATTTCCAATCGAAAAAATTTCAAAAATTTATATTTTTACCAGACATGGCTAGATCGACTCAGCTGATTATGCTGATCAGGAATATATATGATTTGTAAGGGTCGGAAAAGACTTCTTCACTAGTTTTTGAACTTTTAAACAAAATTAGTAACGATTTTTAATGGAATTTCGGCTATCAGCAAAGCAGGAATATTTTTTTAACAACTCAAATTAAATAAAATACATACATATATTAATAAATAAAAAATATATAACTCAAGATATCAGTCACAAAATTGTTTTAACTGTATTTTTATTATTATTATTCCTGCGTTTATTCAGATTTATGCTTAAACCGATAAATTTTATTGAAATACATACGGTACCATTACACATATATATTTGTAGATTAATTTCAATTACTATTAAATCAGTCTATAATTAAAATATATGTTCGCTTAATGATTTCACGTGTGTGTAAGTGTGAGTGTTGTTATTGTTATTATTGTGTGTTGCTGCTGCTGTGTGTGAGCTGCTTGCTACTCGGCGAGTACGTGTAGTTGATGACTCTTCTTAAACGCTAGGTCTCGGCAATTGTGGCAGGTGATGGGGAATTTTGAATTTCAAATTGGAATTGGAAGCCAATCGCACTATAAACTTATATAAAATAGAATAAATCGAGAACAGGATTACGCAGAACATAGAATATAGAGGTGGACATCGCACAAGTTGAAACATTTAAACAAAACAAGTTGGACAACGAACGAAACCACATGTGTAAACATAATAAACGGGGTAAAACTCAATGCAAGGTCAACATAACCAGCATGGCATATATCGACTTATAAGCGAATAATCCAGTTAAACAAATTACAATTTAATCAATATAAAGCTCTGTTGTTTTCATATAAATGTTCACTCTCTCTCATCCTCACACGACGCGGAACAAATTGTATATCATCTGCTGTTCGTAATGTATGCACTATTACCTACAATAATATTTATCATAAACGTAGTTAAATCGATCGACTCGCCGAAACACGATTAATTAATGGATTTACAAACTAAGAAGCGAAATTATTCTACGGTGGAAAACGAATTTTGGCTATGAAGCAACGTAAATTAAAGAAGGTTATTAATTATTAACAATACAAGCACTCACAGCCACAGCCACACCCCAATTTCCTTTTCTCCCCTAAACTGTTTGTTATGTTGCGTGTGTGTTGTGTGTGGTGTGTAAGTGTTGGCAAGGCAATCAACATTACGTTACGGATAGTGTGTGTGTGTGCATAGATGATGAGTTTGTAATGAAATCTCGCTTGAAGCTGTATACTAGCTGCTGCTGCTGCCCCGTCTGCACAATCGCAGGCTGGACCGGATGCGAACCACCACTGGCTCCTACTATGAGCACTTGACACAAGCCCCCTCCACATCAAAGTCCAGGACCATAAGCTTTGTTTCCTCCGTCCCGTTACGGGAGCCCACGGCACAAATAAGCTTCGTGTCGTTTGCCCTGAAACAAATGGTTCCATAAGTTACATATTTCAAAGATGGATAATGCCGAAACCTACCTGATCCGCCACACAACGCCACCGGATCCGCCCGAGTCCAGGGCCACAAGGTTTCGAATAAAGTCGCCCGTCTTCACGTCCCACAATTTGACGGTGCCATCGTCAGAGCTGGTCACCACAAATCGGGAATTAAACTGCAGACAAGTGACCGCCGACTGATGCTTGTTTGGACCTGAAAGGGGATTGAGTTACAACCTTTAATAATCCTAGTATTTCCCGCTACTTACCCGACAGCGTCTGCAGACATTGTCCCGTTGTGATGTCCCATACTTTGACGGTGGAATCGGCATTGCCCGAAACGAGAATGTTCTGACGCAGCTCCATGCCTGAGGTCAAGCTCTGATGACCCATTAAAGTGTGCTTGCAGTTGCCCGTCTCCACATCCCACACCCGTATCGAGGTGTCCAGCGAGCCCGAGACCACATGGAGGCCATCAAACTATGGGTTTGGGTTTTTAGATTAATAGGTATTCCTTAAACACTGTTAAAGCACCACAAACCTGCAGCGAGTAAACGCGATTCGTGTGACCCTGCAGCGTGTGAAGGCACTCCTGACGCTCCGGATGCCAGATCTTGACCATATAATCGTAGGCTCCGGATACAATTAGCTTGCCGTCGTACTGGACACATCGCACGGCGGCCAAGTGGCCAACCAACACGTGGAGACAGGAGCCCTGTTCAATGTCCCAAACGCGAAGAGTGGCGTCTCGCGAACCACTTACCACCCTGATAATTCATTCAAGATTAGCATTATTGGCCAACTGCAGCACAATTTATACTCACTTGTTGCCATGCAGATGCATGCAGCGCACCGTGGATGTGTGTCCCTGGAGCGTATGGACACAAGCACCGCTGTCCATGTCCCAAACCTTGAGCGTGCGATCGGTGCTTCCCGAAATTATGATATTTCCGGACATTTGGGAAGACCAAACGCCACCGGTGTGCCCCACCAGAGTGCGCAGACACTGTGAATATGTCAAAAATGTATATTAATGAAAAGGGTTTTGGGATATGGAGGAAATTAATATTTTAATCCTTGTCAGTATATCTTACCTTTCCATTCACCGCCGACCACACCTTGAGCGTATTGTCATCAGAGCCGGACACGATGCGATTGCCGGAGAACTGCAGGCATGTTATCACATGGTCGTCGTGGCCCTTGAGCACCTTGGGCTTGCGCACTGGACGCGACCGCCAGTTCATCTCGATGATATGCTGGCGCATGTAAGCGGCCTTCCACGGCGAAGCAATGGGCGGCATGTTGCCGTCGCGTCCTCTCTTCGGGCGATCGGTCCGCGGTTCGGACAGTATTTGCGCCTTTCGGCACTTCTCCTTCCAAAGCAGGTTATCGTCGCACAGGAAGCGCCAGCTTCGGCAGGTCTGGGCGGCCCTCAGCAGATCCTTTGGCTCCAAGTAGGAGAGGACAAAGAGGGCCAATTCCCGGGGCAGCAGTGATATGAAGTCGCGCTGGAACTGCGGCTCGATCACTTTCATCATGTGTCGGACCTGCGAGGCATCGCAATGATCAATCAGTCGGTCCAAGGCAAGCAAACGGTCGACATGCGACCACCTCTGGAACTGGGCCAACCAGTGCTGCAGCTCAGGCGGTGGATTATCCCGTGACGGTACAGATCGTGGTGTGCGACGACCCAATCCCGAGCCCGGCGTAGCGTTAGCGAGGTGTTGTGACGAGGGCGTCAGGGACAGCACCGCCGTGGGTCCCGAATGTTGAGAGGATGAGCGCGGCGTAGAGGCAAAGTCATAGGCAATCCGCTTGCGACAGTTATCGCCCAATCCCGAGCCAGATTCGCCCGCTCCGCCGCTAGCGGAGATGGTCATCGAGTAGTCGGCGCCATCCAGTAGACGTCCCTCGTTGAACTTCCGCTTGCGCTGCTGCGAAGGGATCAGGGAGCTGTTGTTGTTAAACGACCCATTCACGTTGACAGCTTTGTAGGACGAAAGAATAAGTGGCTCCTCGTGGTCCATGGGATCCAGGTCATACGCCTCGCTCAGGCTGGCATTGCTGCCGCCGTAGCTGCTGCCGTTCTGGCAAGTGCAGATCTCCTCAAGATCGGAACAGTTGTTCTCTTCGTCGCAATTACCCCACGGCTCGTCGGCATTGAAGTCGCCGGGCTCCACCAGGCCATCACCACCACCAGCAGCTCCCTCCTCGACAACCACCTCCAGGTGAATGACGTCGTTGGAGCCGTTGCGCCGTGGTCGCGCCACTACTGCTACGGATTGTGACGCTGAAGCTGCTCCTGTTAATGACCCACTGGCAGTCGGAGGATTGCTGCGTCCAAGGAATCGTTCCTGTGTCTGGGCGCTGGCATTCACCTGACGCGCCACCGCCTTCGTCGTCGAAGCATTTGCATATTGGCAACGATTCGAGTTGGACGCGCCTCCAGCCCCAGTGCCGGTGGAAGCCGATGTCGAAGCCTGTGCATCACCGCCCAAGCAGTCGGATCCGGCAGAACAAGCTGCCGAGGAATTAAGGGCGGTGGTGCGACTGCAACCACCACCATCCTGAGAAGTCTGCGATCCCACTGAGCTGTAAGAGACGGAAGCACTTACACTAGCACCGTCCTCCTGCTCCTGCTGACAGCTGCTGGCAGACGTGGACGAGGCTGTTGCGGCAGGAACCAGGCCTGGGTAATCATTCGAGTTGGTGTTGGTGTACACATCCGTTCGTGCAGCTCCCGTACATGTAGTCGACGACGACGAAGATTCCGTTGACTTTGACATCGAACTTGACCGGTGCTGACTGCAGCTGGAAGAAGTTCCTAGTGAGGAGCCCAGATTCAGTTTGGCAGTGGACTTGCTCAGCCGGCTGTTGGTGTATTTGCGACTGCTTGTCGGAGTCGTCGACAGATCCTTGTAGGTGCACTGAAAATAATAATTAGGAATTGTTCAGATTATGGAATCAATCTACAACTAGTAATGTCTTCTGGGGAAATCCAACTCACCTTGCTATCAGAGGAAACAGTGCGCCCATTGCTACTGCTAGGCCAGTCGTCGCTGCTGGATGCGTTGGTAGCACCTCCAGCTGCTTTACCGCCGGCCATGGATTTGATCAGACTTAGATTCAATTTGTTCTGGCTCAACATAGAGCTGGTGCGCAGGATAATGCCACCCGTCAGCCGCTGTTCCGTCTCAAAGTCTCGCCGCTCGATCAGATCCATAGACTCTATATCCGCCTTGGACAGGTCGGCGCTAGAGTTAGAGCTGGATCTGGAGGTAGACGTGGAGGCGGTCTCCTCTCGGACGACAGCGTCCGCTGACGAGGGATTGGATACAGCGTTTGCCGTGAGGCTCATCTGCTTCAGCCGCGCTGACATAAGGCGGTCACCCTCGGACGGTTGGTCGTCGACCACGCTGATGCCCGCCTCAGACTTGATCCCTCCTCTGCCTTGAGCCTGATGCTCCGGCTGTTCCTCCTCACCGAGCAGGAACTCGTCGCTTAGACGTTTCGGCTTTCCGGTCAGCTCCGACTGTGAAGCGACTGCAACTTGACCAGGATGCGGCTGGGCCTCCTCCACGACGGGCGTCTCTAGGAAGATCTTTGAACCATCAGCCGCCATTATGGTGCCGTCGGCCAATGCCAATTGTGATGTGTTGGTGCAGTCGATGGCGGCCACTGCAATGTCATCGTCGTCATCCTCTATCAACTCCTCATCCTCATCGTCCTCCGGCTCCGCATCCGGATCAGGATCATCCTCGTCGTCTTCGTCGTCGTCATTTATAAGGCAGACAACGGGCGGATCCTCGGCATCTTCTTCGGGGTCGTTAAAGAATACCTGACTGTGCGGCGCATGGACGGGGCCATCGTTGATGGTATCCGTGGAGGAGCTGTCGTCGACGGCCACCACACCCACGGTGGACGCCGCACCCGCGCTGGTGGGCAGTGAGTTGGAAGAGCTAATCTCAAAGGTGCTGGACTCGTCGTCCAGGACTACGGCGAAACCATGCTGTGAGTTTGACGACACGCACACGTCCTCCACATCCTCCCGCAACGTTGACATAGATACGGCTTTTCTGGGTGCTCCTACTGTCGCTCCTCCTTCTGCTGCTTTTGATCCTGTTCCTTCTGCTTGGCGGCGGCTCGTGGTGGCCTGACTGGCGGCGGGGGCGGCGCTGACTGCTGATTGCGTTCGCTCCCCTGCTCTGGCCACGGATTCACTGCTAGCAGCTGGGCATCCTTTTTCCATAATACTTTTCAAGCATCCAAAGGTGGGCAGCGCGTTCTCCTGGAAAGCGATCGCAAAGAAACGTACATTTAAGGAGTCTGGAAAGTGAACGATATTAGTTGTAACGAAGTGGCTGCTATGAAAATTACAGTTTTGCAACGATCCAAAACGATCCTTTGTGAAGCCACGGGAATTGAAGATGATCCGAAATTCCCACGCAACAAGCGCGAACTGATGGTTGCAAAAAGGAAAAAAAAAAAGAATAAGCGAATGAAAAGCAGTGGGAAAAATGTTTGTAAGCAGTCGCTGCCGCTGCCGACGTTGAAACTCGAAAAAGGAAATCACAAAAGTGCATCGGATCGGCGGAAGAGGCTAAAACGGCGCGAAGTAGAATGGGAAAAAGAAGACGAAACGGGTATTACAACAACAACATCCACACTCGCTCACACACACACACACACTCAGGAGCAGCAAGAAGAGACAGCAGGCAGGCAGGCGGCGGCGCAGGCAGCAAAAAGGTAATGCGGAGAGTGAAGACAGATGAGAGCGAGAAGTAACGGACGTAAGAAGAAGAAGCACCAAAGATACACAGCAGCCGCACCAACAACAACATCACGTACACCTTGCAATTCAAGCCGCTATCTTTTCCCTCCGCTTTTAACTGCCTTGCAGTGATGATCAGCACGTGAAGCAGTCACAGGAAGGCAAAGTAACTGACCGATCAAAAACAAAATATAAATAATATCCCTAATTAAAACGTGTAAAAAGAATGTTATAGCGACCTCGGAAAATGCCATAAATTGCACATTTGCATAATCTAATCTCTCAAAGTTGTCGCTAGTTGCTTATATTATTATTAATATTAATTGTATTTTTATATTTAAATAATATGAAAATAAATGAAAAATCATTACACGAGATAAAAACTTTTTTTTACTAAATATAGGAACAAAACAATTAAGTCGTTTCAAATCCTTTAAAAAGATATTTAGAAAAAATAAAAAAAACGACGATCCTGTCCATTACCGTGACCGGTGAAATCACAGTTGCTCATCTCTGACTGCTTGACAGCAGCTCGGCCCGCCGTGTCTTGTCTGTCACACAGCATCAGCATCCTACCAACACACAGACACGCATCGCATGTATGAAAAGGGATCGCTGCAGGCAGAGATTTTGAGGGGAGCGCAGCCATTATTATTGCAGCTCCGCCGCATCCGCAGCAAACAAAAGGGGCGAGATCACAAAGGAATTTTCAGCGCTCCTGCTGTTGCATCACTCGCAAACAGATCAGATGTGCAGGCATTCTCCGAACATATTTTCACCTTTCCACCCCGACGGCCATTGGCTGTTGACCTCCCGAAAAAAGAAAACGTTTTTTAGGGTCTTCTTTCCGCCGCTTTCACACCGCGTGTATCCAGACCGTAAGCGCTTTACCTGTCCCAGAGGACAGTCGGAATGCGTTCAACATTTTCTTATGCTCATAACGGGCGTGTGGAGTCGCCGTCGTCATAATCATTGCATACACACACAGTCGCATGCAGGCAGGGCTGATAATGGGCAGACCTGTGGTTACCCCCAAAAATAGATTATTTTCGGGGCGAAACGTTGCAATTCCTGGTGGGTTCTAGGGCCCTAACCCCACTTTTCTGCACCTGCACTGCAGCGGCGGCGGCGGAGCGGATGGAGGATTGCCCATAATTCGTGGAGCAAACAACAAAAGAAAAATGTGAACATTGTTGTACACACAGACGCACATACACAGCTACGCAAATATCGCGAGAAGAGTTCGTCACCTTTGCTGAGGACCAGCAATTGTTTGCAAGTTTTTTGGACCCTTAAACTGGGCCAGGCCAAAAACATACCCTGTTCCGGCGGATAAGCAGTCTGTTTTTAATTATTTAGCAACACATTTCACGCGTGTAAAACTTTTTGCGTTGGGTCCACACTCACACTATCACGCACATGCACAGTACACACATTTTCAATTAAAATTTTTCACATACGTTTTGGGGCCGTTGCTCCTTGAGATTTCTGCACTCTGCACTTTGGCTGCTGGCTCTCGTTGTCTATCTAGTTGTTGGATACATGAAGATATTGGCAATTTTCAGATTTTCTTCGAAAAAAAACTACGGATTTAATGAAATTTGTAGTGTGTACTAGAGATGTGGGAAATATATCAAAATATCAATATATCGATATATTTATCAATAAATACATCGCGATAATTTTGTTTTACAGATATTGACGTATCGATGTATTTTTAGTGTAAAAATTGGGAAACGTAGCCAGATTTGGGGGGAAAAAGGGTGAAGTAGCAGCATGTATCTCTAAACGTGTAAAATTGTTGTATATACGTGAATATACAACCTTCGGAATTCAGAGTGACCAGAAACAAAGTATCAAAAAATATTGATACATTGGTATTTTGATATATTCATCAACCAACACCCGATAGCCAACGAGAATTCTACTACATGTATGTGTAAACGTGTAAAATGGTAAAATAGACGCGTAAGATGTAAAATGTTAAATAACAGCTTTAGAATTCAGAGTGACCAAAACAAAATCTATCAAAATGGATATATTGATATATTCACAACTACTATTTTTCGAATTTGAACAATGGTTGGAGCTCTGGGCGATTTCCTGTCCGAGTACCTGGAGCGGGGCCTGGTCCTTGTGATCGCCGACTTGCTCAGCCTCATCACTGTCTCGTCCTGCCTGGTGATCAAGGTGCCGCAGATAAACACTATACGAGCGAACGAGTCCTCGAAAGGTGAAAGCTTCGCCCCCGCAAAATCTAGCAAGTCGCCATCCTCCCACTTACAATCTCTTTTTCTGAATAGGCATCAGCGTACTGGGACTATGCCTGGAGCTGTTTAGCTACACGGTGATGCTGTCGTACAACTACACCAGTGGCTACGACTTCCTCTCATACATGGAGTATCCTGTGCTGCTATTGCAGGAGTACGTCCTCATTTTCTATGCGTTCAAGTACCAGGATTTGCTGGGCAAGCGGACCCAGGTGGTGGCGGTGCTGTATGGAATATTGGTGACGCTCATCTACCTGAAGCTCTTCCCCATTATCATCCTGACGTTCCTGGTGGTGAGTAATCCCCCAAAGATATCACCTGCACTGTGGCATTCGCCACTGATTAGGCGGGGAGCATTCTATGGGCAGATAACAGATATGGCGAAGTTCAAACCCGTTTCGTTCTCTTATTAATTAACTAATTATGTTTTTAAGCGGAGCAAACGGGTTTTGTTTTGGTTTAATTTGTCAGTTTGTCAGGGCGGGCGGAGATCTTAACTGTGCAAAAGCTTTGTTGTCCCAAGGTCAACGGTGTTTGTTGTATAATATTTGAGCGGCTATTAATACCCACGCTCTCGTGCCATTTGACCAATTAACTCATATATATACCTCGAAATTCATTCTTTTGTTTGCTTTCTCTTCAGCCGTTCTGCACGCCGATTGGGGCTACGAGCAAGGTGCTCCAGCTGCTGGCCATTCTGCGGACCAAGGATGCCAGCTCCGTCAGCCGTACCACATGGGCGCTGTCCGCCTTCACCAACATGAGTGAGATCACCTCCATCGGCTGCATCTAAGTTCGCCAATTGACCTGCAATCTTATTTCTTTCTAACAGCCCGCATCTACACGGTCTTCTTCCAATCGCACGACTGGATGTTGCTGTCCAACTTCCTGATTTCAACGTTCCTCAGCGCTTCCGTCTTCGCTGCTGCTTGCTTCTATAAGAAGAAGACAACCAAGGCGGACTAAACGGGCTCAACATAGACAATACTCAGCCGTTATCCTTATCAGTCATTTGTTACTAATTCTATTTGCTTGTCTGTTTAAATTGAAATTAAAAATTCTGAATCGTTGCCTCATTCAGCTCGTTCAACTTTCCGCATAGAATGCCACAGCGATCGCTCCCACAACAGTGAGCAGCGATACCGCGTAGATTGCGTATCGCTGCCAGTCGATCTTTGTCTTGGCGGGGCCCACGTCCACCGTCTTTCGTTCCTTGTGCTTGCGCTTACCGAACTTTGCCTCGAACTTCTCCAGTTCCAGACGGTTGCGCTCCTCTTCGTGTCGTCGCTTCTGCTCCAGATGCTGTTGCTCGGCCGCCTGGGCGCGGGAGCGCTCGGCCGTGCAATTGAAGTCACATTCCAAGGATGTCTGCCCGGCACGATGCTTGTCGCAAGCGATTTCTTGCTTTAGTCGCTTGCAAGCGCAGTAAATGCGAACCTTCTTCCGGCATAGCTCAGGATTGGGACATTTGCCCGAGTGACAAATGGCGGTGCAGCGATGTCCACAATTGTACTGGAAAAAAGGTGGAAAATGTAAAATGGTATGCAATTATTATCTGACATTACTTACATTCTTCAAGCACCGGTTTCCGCAACTGCGTAACTTTTCTCGTCGCTCAACGATCTCCTGGACCGTGCCTGTCTCATCGTAATACTCGCTGCATTTGTACACCGATTGGTTGAGTCCGCAGTGGCACTTGCCTTTGATCACAAAATTACAGGGAGTACACGGCGGCGGGTGGCAGCCCTTGGGACAAGCATGAACACAACCGGCAGGCCTTGGAACGGCACAACCTTCTTCACAGCTAGCACAGCCAGCCTGCTGTTGCATATCCTCTGGATTCGGCACTGAATGACACACTAGCGAGCACTTATGATGGCCGCACTTGAGCTGGCGGGCACACTTGCGCTGACAGGAGCTGGGCTTGGAGTTCCAACAGGGCCAGGTGGCCACTTCATGGCCTCCGATGCAGGTGACAACCACGCCTTCTTCGCACCGGGGATGGGGAAGAGCCTTGTACTCGTACTAAAAGTTCATTTTTAATGATCTAAGTTAGATAAAAATGATTTAAGGCTAGAACTTACCTTCTTGGCCTGTGGTCGACCATCTGCTGGTTTATTAACCCGAACAGCTTCATGGCATCGGGCCTTACATATGTGTCCGCACTTGCTGTTGTCGTTGGGTAAACCGCAGACCTGACCACAAGGCGGACACTCGGACTTGTGGCATCGATGCTTTATAGCGTGGTGGCATTTGGCAGATATTCTGGTGGGAATTCGATTGGCACTAATATTTAAAGGAATGTAAATAAAAGTGGTACGTTACCGACAGAGCTCCAGGCACACAATACGTGCACTCTTCTCCCTTCCACAGGGAACACTGCGTTTGGTTTTGCCACAGCGACAATTGATTTGGGACTCCAGCTTGCATGGATAACACGGTCCGTTGTGGCAGACGGACTGGCATTTGTGTTTGTTGCAGCTCAGCTGCTTACCGCAGATCTTTTCGCAAGGTGGGCACTGATCTCCGCAGCACTAAGAAACGACATCGTTGTTTAATATATTAAGAAAACGACAGATAACTTGGTGTTACCTTTCGGTTACAGGCGTGCTTTCCACAATCCCGAATCTGTTTGCATTTGGTCTCGCAGGTGAACTCCTTAGAGCAGGGCAGCTCCTTTTCATGCAGACCGCAGCGACACTTCTTTTTGGTTCGTACTGGACACTGGAATATACAAGCTTTACTTGGGGAAATTGTATCTCTTTAAAAAAACAAAACCTACAGAAATGCAGGGACCGCGATGACAACGCTGGGTGCAAGTGTGTTGGCCGCACGACAAAAGCTTTTGGCAGGTATCCCCGCAAGTTTCCTCTGCCTCGTTACAGGGCCTAACTTGAGTCTACAAATTAAATGAAGTGGTGTTAAGGTACAGGTTTATCAGGAGCTTAAGTAGACATACGTTCTTGCCGCAGGGACAACTACGGACTTGCAGGGGACACTCTCCATCGCCGCAGGATCCGGCATGGCAAACCTTCTCACAGATGTGTAGGCCGCACGCAAAGGGAGCTCCACATACCTGAAGGAAATTTAAGATATTAAAGATTATTTCTTTTAGAGTCTTAAATCAGACTATGCAATTTACATTTTGACACTTCCATTTTCGATCGGAGCAGTTAACCATTTTAGACTCTCGCTGACATTCGCACGGCTGCAGGCTTTTGCTGGTGCACGGTGGACATTGTCCTGGGCGATGGCATACCTGATTACACTTGTGTTTCCCGCAGGCCAGCAGATCCTTGCACTGAAAAGGAGTTTTATTATTTACTGTATGCGGAAAACTTCCCAAGGATATCCTTACCGCCTGCTGGCACCGCCATTGCTTGTCGATGCACCTCATGGAACGGGGACTGGATTTGCCGCACAAGCAAGATACCGGTGCCTGCTGGGCACAAGGAGGACATGGCCCCGGATGGCACAGCAACTTGCAGTCGTGTCCACACTTTGGCTGAAGCAGCTTTCCGCAAATCTCGCCACATGAATGGGGCACTAGGAACGGCTGCGATGGGGGATTCGCCTCCTTGCCGCAGAAGCAGTTGTACTGCGTCGGCTTCTCCGCGGGCTGATAGTCCCGGCGGCACTGGGGGCAGCACCAGTAAAGGGATTTCTGGCGTTTCGGTGGCACAAACTCCCCCAAATGATTGTAGTGGCCCTGGCTGTTGTTCTGCTGTTCCGCCGCCTTGACCTTCATCTGCATCATGCTGTCGTTGGCCCAGCGCTGAATGCAGTTCAGGTGAAAGAAGCAGTAGCAGCTCCCGCACGACCAGATCGCCTCCACGCGTCGGATGCTGCCAATGCAAATGAGGCAAGTGGCCGCTCCCGAGTGTAGTGTGTTCTCCAGGAATGTACTGGTGCGGGCCGCTGCATCCTTGGAGCTCCCCACCGTCTCCGATGGCTTGTAGTGCTTGTAGAGCAGATCTGGGCGGTAGTTATTAATTAAGATACAAAGAGATAACAAAGAAATAGTTGATTGCTTTCAAATGACACGTCACGGCAATTCTTAATTTACCCAGAATATGCTTCTCGTCGAGTTCGCCTTCATCTTCGGAGCTGGAGGCATAGGTGTCCACTAGTTTTTGGGCGGCTGCGAGGTTTTTTGCTTGCGCTTTATTGAACTTTTCCATTTTTGTAGCCGGCTTTCTTCGGGTGCCAATCAAACTGGAAATTTCTCGGGGGTTGATGCCAGGGATGTCGAGCTCTGTGATAACAGCAATTGCCTGAACTAGTTTCTAATGAAACAAAAATATCTCGAACTAGTTCTAGTTCGGAACCATATAATTTTTTTTGTAATCAAATATAATGGCAACAACTGCTTTTCATACTTAGCTAAAGCTTCCCTTGTATTTTCTGTCATTTCACTAGCTTCGATTATAAGTTGGAGTAACGACATATTACAAATACAAATTGTACATTACAAAGTGAGCTCTCCAGCCCTGGCAGATCATACAAACATCTGCTATTAGTGCGAGACCCTGGAACTTTCACAACGATTGCAACAAAATAAAAAAAAAAAACGACAGGAAAATATTCAATATTCAGACGGAAAAGTAAATATACATACCGAAACGAAAGATGAGCTCCTTCCTCAATTACGTGTTTGGCCCGAATCTCTTCATGGAGTATCGTGGGGTGCCGGAGCCGCAGCGCAAGATGTACGATGCGGGGGCCGCCGAACGTTTCGGTGATCAAATTCTGTCCACGGTAAGTCTCCAGGGGGTCCGAAAAAAAAAATTGGTAAACTGGAGCATATGGAAATGTTGCAAGAGCTAACTTTCTACCTACTTTTTTGCAGCTGTCGGTTATGTGGTCGGTCGGATACTACACTTCTCCGCTGCTCGTCACATTCCTGTACCGTCGCGGCTACCTAGTCGCAGACTCTATACCGACGCTAGCCAAGATTACCACTAGCCTGGGCCTCATCGTCATCATTTCACTAGTGATGCGCGGCCTGGGGCGCAAGCAGTCGCGCTCGTACTCCAACATGATGAAAGCCCTGGCGCGTGCCAAGGAATCCAAGACGGCTGGCGGTGCAAGCAGCGAGCTGCGCCGCTTTGACATCGAGTTTAAGGCTTGGCCAGTGGATTTTGATGTGAAGGCTCTTACTGGGTAAGTGTACAGAATTCCTAAACAGTGGTATGACAATGATAACATTCTCCTCCTACGTTCCAGGGACACAAAGAAGCCGGTAGTAACGGCCAGCAGGCGCGAGCCGTTCCAGTTGGCCACCATGCCCTGCGAGGTGATTGCCTATTTGGCCATCAAAACCTTTGGGCTTTCCATGATCTATCCCGGGTCCGTAAAGCTTTTGCAGAAATTTATGAGTACGTGTAGAGAGTAATTTAAATTGAATAGTTAACTAATTTCTCAAAAATCTCTTTCCTTGCAGGACCCATGCTGATCTCCGGACGCGCCAAGCTCATCGAGGATGATAATGGCATCCGCTATAAGGTTAAGACTATAGACTCGAACGAAATCGACACGTTGTTCATTGACAACCGCAACGACAACGTAGGAAATGGTAAGACCCTGGTCATTTGCTCTGAGGGCAATGCCGGATTCTACGAAGTTGGAATTATGGGTACTCCCGTGGCCTTAAAGTATTCAGTTCTTGGTTGGAATCATCCCGGATTCGCTGGTAGTACGGGCACGCCGTATCCACACGAGGACAAGAATGCCATCGATGCTGTGGTGCAGTTTGCCATCAATAATCTTGGGTTCTCAGTGGAGGACATTATCTTGTACGGCTGGAGTATTGGAGGCTTTAGCACATTGTATGCTGCATCAGTTTATCCGGATGTCAAGGGAGTGGTGCTGGACGCCACATTTGACGATGTGCTCTACCTGGCTGTACCTCGCATGCCGTCTGGCCTGGCCGGAATTGTGAAGGTTGCCATTCGCAATTACTGCAATCTGAACAATGCCGAATTGGCCGCGGAGTTTAACGGTCCAATATCGTTTATTCGCCGCACTGAGGACGAGATAATTGCCGAGTAAGTGCTGTCCCGGCTATCCTTTTTTTTCTCGAACTGACGGATCTTTATTTCGCCCCAGGGACAACCGCATTGATACCAATCGCGGAAACTACTTGGTATTGTCCGTGCTAAAGCATCGGTATCCCAACATCTTTGGAACCTCTCAGTTAAACAAGGTCAAGGGGCTGCTATCAAAGCCTCTGGAGCCGTACACTATCCCAACCGCCGACGAGAAGCTCTGCATGTCGCGCCTCATCACTTACGCCTCCGATGAGGGCAAGTCCTTCCCCATGCACATTGGAGCTGAATACTCAGAGGAGGTGCGCAACCTCATGGCTGTGTTCTTGGTGGGTTTATTGAGCAGTTTGTTCCATAGGGTAAACAGAGAACTAAAACCTTTGTCTACTTTACAGTTGCGCAAGCATTTACGTGACTACAACTCGACGCACTGCACCCAGCTACCCGGGGAGTTCTTTACCATGCCCTGGGACATTCCCACCGAGCACGGATTCGTGTTCACCTAAGCCCGCCTACGGACTATGGGTGTTATTCCGAAGGGGTGATGTGGCCGTGTATGCTTAGACTTAGTGAATTATGGTTTTAGTCATTTTGCACTCTGACTGCTTATTAAATTATTCTAACTGGGAACAGCCGGGACGCTGACATCTGGTGTAAAATTGTCTCTTATATACGAAATAAATGTCACAAGCTATAAACTAATCAAACATCGGCTGCTGGTTTGGCGGTGAGTTTCTATTTTGCTTACGCATTTACAACTAAAAGGAGGGGCGGTAGTTCAACAAGTTGGGCCTACGAGTTTTTCTTGGAGCCCCCGAAGCCGGAGAAGCCCATGATGGCGGCCATGTCATCGGGGAGGCCCCCGCCGGAGCCAAAATCATCTGTATCCTCGGCCTTGCGCTTCCGTTCTTTTCGCTTCTCCTTGCGGTGCTCCTTGTAGCGATCTTCCTCCTCTTTGGCCTCGCGAAGCCGGCGCTCCAGCTCGTAGTCTTTCTGCTTCTCCTCCATCTTCTTTTTGTTCTGCTGGAAGCGCTCCTTCACCTGGTCGACGGTGCTGCGCTCCACCTTCATGGACATACCCAAATTGCGCTGGTGCTTCTTGCCATTGATGTGGTCGAGGAAGTTTATCGAATCCTTGACCACGCAGTCACAAACGTTGCAGTAATAGCCGCCCGACTGGGACGTGGGTGTGTTCTTGTTTATCACCACGCTCTTGCCCAGTTTGCTGTCCAGGTCCACCTTGTAGTCGCGGCGCTTTAAGTTCTCCCGCTGCACGGGCTCTGCAAGAACATGAAACAAAGACAACCAGTTTATGTCGACTCTTGGAGGATAGGTCGGGTGAGAGCACCTTCTTCCTTGGGGGCCACCTGGTTGAGGAGGCGCTCCGCTGCCAGCTTCTCATACTCGTTCTTGTCCCATTTCCTTCGGTGGTCATCAGGTCGCATAGTCATGGTGCCGCTTTGATTTGTTTTTAAATAAATATTATAAAGACGAAAATTGTAAATATTTTCTTTAGAGATGCGCGGCTACATCGATGGTATCAAATATCGATAGGTTAAGGCAAGGGCCGATAGCTTCTTATTTGAACGCTGCCTTTCCTAGTTTTTCGATAACGTATTGATTTTTCGTTATAAAAAGTGGGAGTACCTGGAAATCACATTAAAATCGAGGCAAACCTTGTTTTTGAGACACAAACTTGTGAAAATGGGCGCTGCTTTCTTTCCCGTGTTTTTCTTTACTGGTCTTTGGGGAGCTGTGGGCATTGGCATGCCCATAATGACCCCCAAAGGACCTCACCAGAATCTTATCCGTTGCGTCTTGATGCTAACAGCCGCCTGCTGTTGGCTGTTCTGGCTCTGCTGCTATATGGCACAGATGAATCCTTTAATTGGACCGAAACTCAAGCGGGATGTGGTGGCCATGATTGGCAGGTCCTGGAACAACGAAATCCTCGAGCACTAGGAAGCTGCACCATCGTCAACAATGTATCCCAACCATAACCAATTAAATTGTTTCGTGTTGTAAATAAAATAGTAAAACATCTATTGTTATGTTCTATTAACAATTAAAGGCTATTTATGTTTATTTAATAAACCTAATTTGAAATAATGCAAAATAAATAGACCCTTTCGAAACAAAATCTTTAATCTTTATATCATACAAAAAGACAAAAGCAAACAATAACATAAATAAAAACAAATTACAAAGTTATCTGTTAAAAATAAAACATACAAAAACATATTATATTCTATAGAAAAAAGGAAAGGGAAAAATGAAAAAATAAAACAAAGTAAAAGTTTCTATATTTTCGATTTCATTTTGCAACAAGAAAAGAAGTCGAAGTTTATATACCCTTGAAGTTTGTAGTTGATTTATATCATTGAATCAGAAATTGATGATAACTAGTTAACGAATATGCATAGCTAGCTAATCTGATTCTAAGTTTAGGCCTGATATATAAATGACATAAGTTTAATGATTAAGACTTACCGCACTAGATGAATAATAACATTGTAATTGCTTAATTCCCTTCTGTGCATAGCTATATTCTTGATAATATAATTGTCATTGTTAAGACTTACCCCATTATGGGACACGTCATGGCTTAATTCCTCACAGTCCAGAGCTCTTGGTGACTTCAATTTGGTTTCTCATAGTATCAGCAAAGTCATCTTCTTCCTGTTTATCCAGATGTATTGGTTGGCCACGTCATATCACTATCACCACTAATGTTAACACTAGGTACCCCTAGGACAGACTGAGGCCGGCCGGCGGCAGCGCGCTGTATTTATAGTCTCCGAGCAAAGAGAACAGAGAATGAGAGAACTAGAGAGAAAGAGGCATCGCTAGCGAAAGGCAGAGCAACATAGAGAGTAAGAGATAGCTCTAGAGGCATACATAGAGGGGCAGCCATACAGAGCGAGCGAGAGAGGGAGTTTTGCATTTTCGTCTGCATTTAACGATCGTTCCTATTTTATATAGTATATAGTCGTCCGATTTTAATAAAATTAATATAAAAAATTTAAAATTTATAATTAAATGATATATGTTATGTTATAATTAAATATGTTTAAAACTGGAATAGTTATAATTTGCTTTCTAAAACTTTTCCGATTGTTCCCATCGCAGCTATATGATATAGTCGTCCGATCCGGCCTGTTTCGACTTATAGACAGTAAGATTATAAAAAACACTCTATGCAGATAGCTTCAAAACTTTAGTTTGCGAAGAATCAGACAGATTGACGAACAGACGGTGATGTTAATGCTGATCAAGAATATATATTCATTTTAAAGTCGGAAATGACTTCTTTACTGCGTTGCAAGCTTCTGACTCAAATTAAAATACCCTGCAAGGTATAAAAATATCTGTAAGTTTCTCAGAGGCAGTTGATTATCAAATACCACTAATGCAAGACAAAGGGAATATAATTTCAAATCAATTTGAATGAAAGAAGAATACCGCCACTTGCTGCTGATAGAGACTCCAAAGAGAAAGAGCCCCGAGAGAGCTAAAGAATGAGAAAATCAGTTGCGCATGCGCGACCCTGCTCTCTTTGGCAGCCCGTCTTCATTTCTCTTTTCAGTTATACTTCTGCGTTCGAGATTTTGTGGCCACCGTTTTCAGTTTTCCATTGGTCCCGGGCGCGAACAGTTGGCTTTTTGAGAAGCTCTCGTCGTGAGAAGTATTGAAATCTTCGAGAATTCCAAACGACAGGAATCGGAGAAATATAATCAAAACTGTGCATTATTTGTGATTAAATCGCTGGAAGAAGAAATATCATTCTTTTCAACTCCCAGTCTCCACAAATGGAACCACTCTTCAGCTGCTTCAAAGCCGGACGATAATTCAGTGTAGCCTTGTCAGGTAAGCTATTTGGGAGTTTACAACTCAATTTGCAAGAAAGGTGCGCAGGACCAGTCAGTATATAGGAACATTGACTCTCCCTAAGACAACGACTAACTCTTGGGCCATAAACTAGTTAGACATGCAATAAAGCAGGCAAGAAGCATTGAGTGCTGGCCAGCGAAGGTACAAAACTGGTTACATTGCCAGTGTGTGTTATTACTCCCCAGAGACCCCGAAGACCCCAGCGTAAGAGGTAGAAATTTAAGCTCGGCCCAGAGCAATAATCGCTCACAAACGAGCTGGCAAAGCCAAAAAAATTATGGATGTTAAGACGAAAAATGGCAATAAAAAGGGGCTCCAGCTGGAGCCCGAAAAAACCAGTCTGTGATAAAAGAAATTAGAAATTGAGGGGGCCTCCGAAAAAAAGGGCGGCAAACAGCAAAGAGCATTCCGACTTCCAACACCGACTTGGCACCAATAAAAGCGTTGAGAATGGCTGAAAGAAAAGGCCGAGTGGACAGGTGATCCGCGTCCAAAGAACAAACTGAAACAAAAGGCCGGAGAACTTTTTGTGTTGTCTCCTCCTCGGGGCTTTCTTGGTGTCTGTCGTCGCTTTATATGTCGCTAACCGCGCAATTACCGCGTTCATGATGAACTGGGCCAATTGACAGTTCAGTTCGGTTCAGTTCGGAGCCCCCGGATCCGTTGCTCCCGGCTGCCGGAGATCGGAGATTGCGGGAGGAACTTCTCTATTAGTCTCCGATCCCACTAACGGCCACACGATGAGTGGGTCGCGTCTCCCATTATGATGGCAGATTTTTCTACGAGCTTGGACAGATGAGGTCGCAACTATAGGAATCTTAGTGCAGGGAGCACAGTGCAGTCTCTGCATCTATCTATCTATCCTCTGAACTTTCCTCCTCCCACAGAATCTTTTAAATTTCCTACTAGATTTCATACTCCACAACTGCAGTTATTAAATTTGATAGGCTTGGTTGCTATTATTTTGCCCGCAATTGTCCCCATTAAAAATGTAAGCATTTTGCATCCATCTAACAATGTATGCCGATGCGGAAATTGATTTTTAGTCGCAGTTAACGTTTTTCAGCATTTATGTTTACGGTTCTCGCGCAAACATCTTGGACGCGGACAGGAAGAGGCCGTGGCTCTCGGCACTTGGCACTCATTTGGATTTTTCTGACCCAATTTGGGGCACCACACACACAGACAACCTGCAGCAGCCTGCCTCCCCTGTAATAACCGACAATTTACGCAAATTCTCCATCCGAACTGACTCATTGATAACTGCGGGCTGACGCCTCAAAGGAGAAAGTGCCAAAACACTCGGAATCGGAGTCGGACTTAGACTTTGACTCAGCACGAGACGACACTCGGGACAAGGCCGAGAGACAGGTTGCCAAATCCACATCCACTTCCAAGTCCAAGTCCAAGTCCAAGTCCAAGTCCAAGTCCAAATCCGAAACCGAATCCTAGACGCCCATATATTTCGCTCGACTGTCTGTGCAGCTGTCACCAAGGCACTTTTCGTGTTTCTACCAATTTCTACACTCGTATTTTGACAATTTTCACCTCAAATTAGTTTCACTGAGAAGGCAGGCAATGAAAATTTTCATTTTTTTCGTCGTCTGTCGGAAGTGGATCAAAGACACGGCGACAGAGAGACGTAGAAATGCGCAAAACCAGATTGAGATTGAAAAATTATGTACATTTTTACGAGCATTTCTCGGGTGTGAGTTTTCGGGTTTATTTTGATTTCGTTTTCGTTGCCTTGGCTGGAAATTATTCATTTACAAGCTAATGAAACACTTTCGCTCGTTAAGAGTCCGGTGGTCAGGCCTTAAATCTTAAATCTGGCCACTAAGATCTGTGGTATCCCCGCCCCCGCAACTGTGGGGGTTCTTCGCGGCATGTTCTCTACTGCCCGCGAAGAATCGCAAATTGGTCAAGAGATGCGAAACGAATGATATATCTCGGCCTAGTCTGGCCCAAATTGGCAGCCTAGCTGATCATCCGTGCCGCACGATTCCTCTAGTTTACTCCAAATGACAGAAAGATGTGGAGATTCCAGCCAAGAAGCGGCCACTTCCATCAGATTGATCTGTGCAGCTGTCGGGCTGACTTAGCTCGGAGCTTGGAGTTCGTGCCGGGGCGAAATAGAACATAACGCTAAGCTGCGGCTAAATTGCATTCAAATGATGTAAAATCGCCTCTAATGGGCCGATCTTTTGTTTCGCCTGCCAAGCGACCAAGGAAAGCGACCTCAAATGCAAGAGTTCGTTGCGGTAAAGCGAATAAAGCACTCGAGTGCACTAGAAAAAAATATATAAAGATATTTCCTAAAGCGATAATATTGAGTAAGAATTGAATTCATATTAGGTTTTAAAATAATGAATTTATAATGATTTCCTTTTTAACGCTTATATCGAGCGATATATTTACAACTTTCTGTATTCAAAAGAAAAGGTATAATTGAATTATATTAAGCTTTTATTATATATTATCTTAATATCAAAGAACAGATTTTTTGAAAATCAAAAGTAAACCTATAATGATATAATTTGTTCTCCAAGTAAGAATCAGATAGAATGAAAGCATTTCCAAACACACTTAGACTTATACTTAAAGTAAATTGGTAAAAGATTCGTTTGAAATATGTGTTTCAGTGCGGTTTTCTTTAGTATGGATCAGTTGGTATTGGATTGGTCTGGAAAAGAGGAAAGGGGGAAGGGAAGGAGGAGCACTGGATGTGATGTGCGTGTCTCGCATGCTGATCGTGGCACTAATTGCAGTTCGGGTTCTTATCCACCAAGTGCGTCGATGCATACCAAGAGGAGAGCTGTCTTCTGCAGCCGCGTTGACATTTGCATTAGAATTGGACAAGCCATAAGGAACACAGGGAGTTATTCGGAACGAGTTGCCTGCTCCAAAGAAAATTAATTGGTGGAAACCCATTTAATTGTTTGACGACCTACAATTTGCATATACTCAACGAAGTAGAAGCTGTAAAACTGATTTACAGCAGACTGATAAAGTAAGATGCAATATAATTTAACGGAACTTTAAACATTTATATTTAAATGTTATTTATTGTTGTTATTAAAACTGTTAAAATTAAATTACAAGAATAACGGATACTAAAATGGTTGGTTAAATTTAAATAAATCAGATTGAACAATGAATAAAACAAGATTTGCTCATGCTTAAAAATGATGATTTAAATCAGAGTTTAACCAAATCAAATATTGATATTGAAGAGAAACATTATAATTGATAAAAGATTTTTTGTGGATAAACCTGATAATCAAATTCAAATTTATTCTGAAATTCATCAATAGTTTCAAGCCCATTTGGTTAACATTTCATTAATAACAACTTCTCATTATGTTCTATTATATTCCTTAAGTAATATAGAACAAATTCACCCGCTTGCTGGTTCTATTAACTTTGGCTAAAAGACAAGACTCACCTTTTCCGGCATTTAGCACTGTTGTTAATACTGTTACCTCAGCCTAACGGCTTTCCTCGCCTGACTTGACACTTTTCACCTGTCTGTGGCTCGTTCGATGACTGCGCCCTGTACAGTCGGCCCTCGTAAAGTTGCTCTAAGTGCTCAGTACAGGAGTGAGTAATCAAGTTTCCGAATAATTCTTGGGGGAGCTGAAGCTCATATGTGTGTGGGAAAGGCAAGGAGAAAAAACGAAACGCAAGAGCTGGAGCTGAGATTTGTTTGTTTTTAATTAGTTTGGTCGTTGGTTAAAGCGTAACGGTGAATGATCTTAATGACTCTGCCTCCATGTTATAATATTATGTTTTATTTTTATTCTATTCTCTGCTTCCTGCTTGTTCTTGTCAACTGTGGCCCCTGTCTGTTGTCTCTGGGGTTTGTCGTCTCAAAATGAAATGCACTTTTAGTTCCGCAAATGCGGGATGGGGAGAGCTCTGCTCTACGCAGGTTGGTCGTCAAGTGGTTCAGAATAGTACCCCTCATATTACGAGAGACTTTGTATACATATATGAAGTGTATAAAGTGGTCATGCTCCAGTAAGACTTAGGTAGCTGGCGCCGTTAGAGCGATTACGATTCTGATTACGAAACTGCAGAAACGCCGCACGGGACAGAGATTCAGATTGGTCTTCACGCACACAAATGTTTTCTACCATATACCATATTCGTGTCTTGATAGCCATAAACAATTTAATTAATTTATTATACAATTAGCGGCAACGTTACTTTGTTGCAGCCATTCAACGCCTCTGTGCGTTTACAAAGGAGATGAGATAGAAAAAAGACTCATTAAAAGAAAGGTTTTTAAAGCTTGTTCTTTGATTTATTAAGACTTAATTAATAAAAATCTAGAGTCACATTTTAATGCACAAAACTACTGATTTAATAGAACAAGACATGTCATTTCAGCAAAACGGAAATGGATTTGAAATTTGTAATCAATGTTATCGATTAATTGTTGCTTTTCCAAGTCAACTTCCGTTTCTTTGCCTGTTTTCACCATATCTGTTTGTCAAAGTTTACTCTACTGCCCGTTCTGTTTATGTTTTTGTTAGTTATGAGATTTCTGATTGCCGCCTTTCTTTTTCTTTTTCGTAAGGCAATGAAAGAAGATTGCATAAATTTGCACACAGATACTGGCAAATTGAGGCATCAATTATGACATCTTAGCGGTATTCGAGATTCGTATAATGAGGCTGCCAATTGGGCATCACTTTCGAAAAATAAACAAATAATAGGAAATGCTTCCACCTTTTGATGGAGCGACGCGCCTGCATTGTCTGGATGATTCAATGAACGGTGAGCTCTTCTAGTTTCCGATGCGTTCGGAATGGACACTTTCCATTTCACCGTCATTCCAAGATAGCCATCAATGGGAATTGACATCGATGCTGGGGCCTCACCTGTGAGCTCCGCCCCTTTTACACCTGTCGCATTTCACTTTCTTCGCGGCAGCGTCGGCGGCGGCTATTATGATTGAAAGTGGCTGTGAATCTTAATCTGGCCGAAAATCGCTGTGCTGCCTGATATATCGGCGAAGACAATGGGTTAAACGTGCCAGCGGGTTAATGACCGACTTCCGTTAGACGTTTCTGCAGATTGCTACCGATGACCAAGTGTCCAAGTGTCCAACTGTCCAAAATCAAATTCTCATCAATCATTCTTTGACGCTTTTTCGTCCAGCAATTTCACCGATAGAGAAAATCGGCTAATGCGAGAAATTTAATCAACTTATGCGTGGCCGGCCGGCGACGTCTTAATACTTAATGCCTAAAAAACTAAATAAAAAAATTAAAAACTACAATTGTGAGTGTGTGTCTGTGAGTTGTGCCAGTAATATTTTTGTTTTATTTCTGTATTTTTCGTTTACTTCTTTCACGCGGCGGCTCCGAGACGCAAGTCAATTTATTCTGTCTTTCTCCGCACACAAAACATTACAGCTTCGGTAGAAATATTAGCACTAAGGAACGAAAATTTATATTATTAAACGGGTTTTATTTTAATACCCTTGCAGGGTAATATAATTTTAGTCAGAAGCTTGTAACTTTTAAAGGAATCTGTTCCGACCCTATAAATCATATACATTCTTGATCAGAATTAACAGCCAAATCGATCAAGCCATGTTCGGGCAAAAAATAAAATTTAAAAATTTTTCTCAAAATTTGAAAAAATGATAAGGGGTTACATCGTTAAAATTTGCAAAAATTGACAAAAATTTTAATTTTGTTAAATTTAAATTTGAGTACGCAGATTTATTAACCTGACAAAAACTAGTAAATAAATGCTTTCCGAATTGAAATTAATTGATATTTGACGCAGTTATGCGTTTTTTAAAACTTTGATTTGAGATAAATATCGATTCAAAGAATGTGAATATTTTTAACTTATCATAGTTCTGATCGATTTTCGATTCGATCCTATCATTTAATTGCAAGGTTGATTTCCTTTCTTGTTTAAAACATTTTCTGAAATATTTAAGAAGGAAACTATAAAAAATACCATTATTTTGACCAACATTGTGAGTACATACTTGGGAGACGCGCTCAAGTTGCCAGTTTTGGCTTTGGCCGGGCCGGGCCCCTTCTCATCTACCATTTCCATTCCTCCTCGTGCCATCATGGCTCCGCGCATGCGCATCTGGGTCAAAGCTGGTGGCTACGGCTTTGGCCATGATGACGACGGCGATGGTGATGGCTCCCCAAGCGTTCTAACCATACACTTGGGTAGAGAGTGGAGGGCACCTGAATTCCCCTTTGGAGCCCAGCCCAGCCATTTCTACGCGTATCTTTGCTGTGCATGTGTATGCCAGATTGCTAATTGCACGGGTTCTCTTCAATTTGCCTCTTTTTCTGCTAGTTTGAGCGCGTTTTTGGCGGTACATTTTTATTAGGCAAATGGGTTTCCGTTCCAATTCAATGGGAAGTGGCCGAAGCGGCGGCAATGATAGAGATTCCGTTAAGTTAATGGCGGTTACCAAGCCGGGAAAAGGCGATCACAGAACTATTACCAAAGATTTATTGGTGTTAGACACTTATTTTAAAGAAAATCGTTCCATATTTATCAATAAACTAGTATAACAATTAAACATACTGTTTTCCCAGTTATATTTTAGGCTTTCTCTAGGCCCTCAGCATGTCATTAATCATACATTTTGCATAATCTTATCCATTAGCATTGTGTTCGATTTCTGATGACCCAACAAAGACGAGGCTTTGCTTCCGAAGACCTGATTATCATGCCACAGCATCCCAATTAGTTTCTCTGTCTGGCCGCCACCGCCATCATCAAGACATTCCTAAAAATAACAGAACTTTTACTTTTGCGAGTTGAAAAAGCTCAGACTCGAGGCTGGAGAGACCCGAGACTTGAGACTGGAGACCCCTTGAAGCCATCGCTTCAATCTTCTATTTTTACACACGTTTCTCCGCGTCTCTGAACTTTGCTTTTGATACCAAGTATCATACATTGTGCGCGACTCTATAAACACAGCGATCTTACATGTGTATATGACGGCGGAACAAGCCATAACCCAGCCCCATCTCCATCTTCATCTGCAACTCCACCTCCATCTCCATCACATCTCATCCCATCTCTGCTGGAGAACTGGTTTCCATCCCACTCCATGCCCATCTGCTGTGTACTTAAGCCATTCGTAGTGGCCCGGGAGTGGGTTCTTCTTCCCCACAGAAGAAGTGAAAATTCCAAATTTGTAGGGCTCAGACCAGTGAGCGTATCAAAGTGTCGGGGAATTCTCTAATTAAACTTTTGGGTTTAATGTCTCGAAGAGCTTTCGCTTTTTACGACTGGTCAGCGAAGAGGGGTCTAGTTTTCTTCTTACTTTTCTCTTATTGTGGGGGTTCAATTAATTATGAATCTTGTGAGTGATACCTTTATTCATTGAGAAGAAGGTTAGTTTTTGGGGTTTTATGGCCATAACAAATGTCACGATGTACCGGGAAAAGGGTCATATAAAGAAAATATGGTTGCGCAGGGTTTTCTCAGGAATGTTTAAACTGCGAAGAAGCTGAGAAAAAACTAGAAAAGTATCTGTGCTTACAAAAATATTAGTTCAAGTCCCAATAATAATAAATAAGTATAATTTTGGAGTAGTGAAGAGTATTAAATATATTATTAGAAAACCTTTTAAGAATACTTTTTTGTGGTGTAAAAACTCTTTGGTGGAGTTTAAGAAATGCAAATCAAACCGGTTAACGGCCTGCATATCTCATAGCTATTGTTTGCTATTCTTTTTCCTCGGTTTTCCTTTTGCGAAAAGTGAGAATTTTCGTTTGGCTAATGGGCTGGAAACAGGATTAGCCGGTTCTCCGGCATGCTGGCCCATTAGTGGACTTTTCACAGCCCGATCCCGATCCCGACCCCAGTCCCAGTCCAAGAACGGATCACTCAGCGGAGTGGTCTCAAAAGAAAGCAAACTCTTTGTGTGCATGTGTCGCGCGGTCCAAAACGAAAGTGAAGCAGAGCCCACTAACAATGATCCACCGAATATCTTTTCTTGATTTCAGAACCAGCCAAACGGAGTTGGAGTTGAAGCTGCAGCTGTAACGGCACAAGCACCCAAAGATGGATACCGTTTATGGGACCAAGAAGTACTTCCAGAGCTTATCCGGTGTTAGTGATATATACAGGGCACAGACATGTCGGCAAATGGTGAGTAATCCACATCGTTTATCACTTGGACGGAACAAAAGACCACCGACAGTTATACAATGCCGATGAATCTGATTAGAGTCTCGGAGTCGAGGTTCCCGGGGAGTGAATAGAATTGAGGCCAAAAAATCTTTTTGTAAATAGAATTGTTACATCAACGCGAGTCGGAGGGTTTTGTTATCTTTTTTTTTTGTGTGTTTTCTTGTTACAAAGAACGCAGCTTGCATATTTATTTATTCGTTTGCCTATTTGTTTGGGGCTCCCGAGAGGCAGCAGCTCCGGGAACTCAGAGCTCGGAGCTCGGAGCTCGGAGCTGTTTGCATTCCTCGTTCACAGAAAAAGATACATAGGAACAGAGCGGCAGTTCGTTCGTTCGTTCGCTCGCTCGCTCGCTCGTTCGTTCTAAAAGGTGAATGACTTTCTCTGGCAGCGAAGAAAGAAGCGACCAAGAAGAGCCGGCTAGCGAAGAAAGAGCGAAAGAGAACGCAACGCAAAAGAGTTGGCAAGACTGGGGGGGGGGTTAGCGGAAGGGAAGGAAGATGGCCACAAGGGAAATGCCCTGCAGCTAACGAATGTTAAATGGTAATCAAGAAACAATCAAAACATTCCCACAGAAGCCCTCAGGAAGCGCCCTTGGCAAGTGCACTCTCCAAACGCAAACTCACAGTTGGGTCTAAGATAATTATAGGCTACGAATCAGTGAGATTTACTAATTAAAACTCATGATTGCTTTCTCATTAAGTATTAAGTTTGGCCCCAGTGAAGAATTTTAATTACTTGTCTATATTGTCAGCTTCTTTCATATCAATGTCAATGTCAATATCAAAAGACTTAGGCAACAAACTTGTTTATGGCAGCTCCGTAAAGAAGATCTAAAGCGAACTAGTTGTTACATTACTATGAAGAGTTCTTGAGTTTTTGCATGTAATTCTTTACATTAAGTTCCTTTGCTTCTATAATTTTACCTAATTTAATTAAAAAAGAACACATAAAATGCTAATCACCCACCAGACAGCTGTGAGCCTGTGAACCTGTTGATGCTCGTTGGACTCTGACCAGGTGCAGCGGCTCTGTAACTCTGTACTCTGCTAATTAAATGCGTTTTCCCAGCAGCCACAGAACTAATGCTAATGAGATGCATTAACAAATCATGACAAGTTAGATAGTGAGATCTCCTCTGACATAACCCTCGGGAAAGCTGGGAAAGTTTTTTGGGGGAAGCTTGCGGTTCTCTGCGGCGAATCTCTGCAAATTGAGCTCAAAGTGTGGTCCGTTAGATGCTAACTTCCGTAATCTAGAACCTAGATTGGTGACTGGGAGAGCTAAGTGGCGAAAGAAAGTGGCCAAAGGGTCGAGAATCGAGAAAGTTGTACGACTTACAGCAGCTTGTGGCTAAATATCTAATTAGTGGCCATCGGGATCAGATCGATCAGATGCCAGACTCACTCTTGGCACACTTTGGAAACCCAGTTAACGACATCTGTCATTTTGCAGAGTGCGGACTACACATACCAGAACACCGTTGGCCGGAGGTCTCAACTTGGGGCGTACTATCACATGAACAAGCAGCCCTCGTACACGAACGATCACAGTGTGAACAGTCAGTATGGATACAATACGTGGGGCATCTGGCGGGATGGCAGGAACATTGCCCCATCCACGTTCTCGGCCAAGACGCACACACAGTACCCGAAGAATCGCTCCTTCTCCATTATCCTGACCACGGCCGCTTTTATAGTCCTTCTGGCCGTCATTTCCATAGCCGGCTTGGCCTTCTACTTTAGCTCCATCAAGACCAATCTGGAGGATCGTAAGAGAAAGCATTTTTGATCTACTTAAGAGTCTATATTAACTGAATACCTTTTTTCTCAGCCATCATGGGTTTCGAGGGCTCTTTCCGCATTGCCAAGGGTGATCTCTTCTCCACGGGCCTCAAGTATAACCACACCACGACCTACAAGCAGAAGATCGATTTCTACAAGCGCTTCGTGGAGCGTTCCATGATGGATAATGGCCTGACGCCGCTGCGCACCGATGTCTGGGGCTTCGGCGAGGGTCCATTGATAAAGGTCTCATTCCGGGTGTTCCTCGATGTCCGTAAACTACCGCAGTAAGCTTAATCTTCACCTTCTCCTAAATAGTTTTTATATATTCAATATTTTTAGAAACATACTGAGCGTTGAGGAGTACATTAAGGAGTCGCTGTTCCTGGAGACCTCTGCCACCAAGTCACTGTATCGCTCATTGAGGCTGGACACCGAATCAGTGGAGATCAAGCGGATTATGGACGAGCAGGTGGTGCGATCTGCAGCTATACTTAAGGAAGCAGTAAGAAAATACCTCTCTTTCATTCAGATTCTTTATAATTCAATGTTAATCTTCATCAGCAAACGGTGCCCACTAGTCAAACCCAACTGGAGAAGCGTCTGATGAAGAAGGGCAGCACGCCGGCACCGTCGCCACTTTATCCGAAACCTCTGGGTGGCGGCAATACGACGCCTAAGCCGAAGAATCCCCTGGTGCGTACCCATGTCGCTGACGAGGAGCCCGACATCGACGTGGAAAATGCTCCGGTTATCCAGGGTTCCTTCGAGGGTTCCTTTGAGATCACCAAAACGGATGCAGATATTGCCCGCAAGAAGACGCCGCCAACTAGAGCCTATCAGACCAGCAGCAGCAGCGCCTTGCCGCCGAAGTCCATTGCCGTGACGCCTTACTCCTTGAGAGTGAAGCCCAAGAAGCCGGGTATTGAGAAGCTGACAACTGTGCTGCCCCAGCAGGTCCCGTCGGGAGGTTCTGCATCGACAACCAGAGCAACCACTAGGGCCACAAAGGCGACTACTACGACCAGGAAGAGCACTACAAGTACGACTACTTCTACCACATCGACGACGACGACGACAACAACAACAACAACTCCAAAGCCAACAACGAGTACTACAACCACAGAAACCACTTCCACTACTACACCTCCTCCGCCGCCTAGCACCACTCGGGCTACGACAACCACATTCACCTATCCTCCGGTGAGCACGCCCACTTCAAGCCCAATAGGATCTCTACCCAAACTGGATGCCAATCTGTTCACCACCTTCCCCATTTTGGATACACAACCCTGGAGGCCGATGCATCGAGAGGTTCCCGAACTGTTGCCGGGACCACCGCCAGCTTTTCCCACCAAAACCCTGCCAGGTGCAGCTGGAACTACGCCCACCGTCAATCACATACCCCAGCGAAGGATTGATGATTTCGAGTTGCCTTTCATCGGAGACAATCCAACGCCACCGACAGCGGCCGTGGCTCCCGTGACCATTGATCCGTACAGTCTTGGCTTCCTAAATCCCGCAGTGCGCCTGCAGGAGCCTAAACCTCTAAGTCCCGTGCAGCAGCCTCAAGATCAGGATATGCTCTTCTATCACAATTTTGGCAGTCCCGTTTTCATGCCAGGAACTGAGAATATTGAGCGGCTGGGAGGAGCTCTCGTGGAACCGCACCCACTGCCTGTGCCCCTGATAGATGATGTGATCATTCCGCCGTTTAAGCCCATTGATCCTACGATAGGAACGGGTGAGAAGCTGCCCTTCAATCTGGATGCCAGCAACGAGAGATTTGAACATCTTGGCGGCGGGGTAATAGCCAAGAAGCCGCAGGACAAGCTGGAAAAGAAGGAGCCGCAGGATGAGACAGAGAAGCCAGTCGCTGAGGAGCAGCAAATCAAAACTGTTCCGGAACTGAACCAGGAAAAGGATCAGCAACTGAAGAAGGAACAGCTGGAGACTACCACTAATTTACAGGACAAATTGCCCACATCTACATCAAAGTCTCTGGTTACCAGCTCACAAAAGCCCACCAAATCTCCTTCCTTGCCTTCGCTGAAACCAACAGACAACTCGGTGCTGGCGGACACTATAGGTGAGTTCTTTATGGAGCTCCTGAATCTGCCCAAGGAGGACAATGCCACTGCCACTCCGAAGCCAACAGGGGATGTAATAGAATCCCGAATAGAGCCAGAGGAGGAAGAGGTGACGGTGAAGCCAGTTAAGCCAAACTTTATGAACCTGAAGGAGATCATTCTGCAAAGGAACACTCCCTCTTCCGTTCTCTCCAACGCCAGCTTAGAGCTGGAATCTACAACCCCAACAACCACGACCAGTACAACGACCACGGAGGAGCCCAGGACCACGAAAAGGAATCGTGTGCGAACGACAAGCGAAAAGCCAACCATGATGGATGACTCCAACTTGTTTCCTTCGCACTCCAAGTGGGAGTTTGTCAACAGTTCTTCGGCTCAGGGATACGGACACAACGGGAACATGAGAAAGGTCTTCAATCAGACGTTGCAGGCTTGGGTCTCAGAGGATATTGACAAGTCGGAGAACCTTACACTGAACGATATCAAGACGAGAATTAACAATGCCAGCAATATCCAGGACATATCGCTGATCTTTGATACGCTGGCTACAAAACTGGGCATCACGCCCAGTGTCCCAAACAAGTTTCCGCCATTTTCGCAAAACAAACTTAAGCATTCGGCACCTAAAGAGGAAGTAAAGAGGCCCATATCCACCACCACAATTGCTCCAAAGCCCCTATTGCCCCTAGAGAGGGAACCTTTCATCAAGCCCATGTCCAGTTTTATAGAAGAAGGCTCATCTGAGGTCCTGGGAGCCGCCATTCCAGTGGTCGGCGAGGCAGAAGTAGAGGTTATTGATCCTGTGAAGTACGAAGAGCTGCTTAAGATCTCGCAGTTTGCCGCCAGCACAACAGAGCCGAGTGTGCACCGCCTGGTGACGCTGCTCCCAGTAAGATCCAACTCCGGAATCCGAACATATAGGCCACCTGCCGAGGAGCAGGACACGCCGCGCAGTGCACCCTCTGCCGTTCCCGTTCCAGTTCCTGCTCCCGCAACCTCTCCACGTCCCAGTGTTGGTCCCGGCAAGATCAGTTTACGGCGCAAGAGCAATCTAAACCAGAGCCGAAGATTCGGCCAGCCACCCGCCGAGGCGGTGGTCAAGGGCGGCATCCAGGTGACGGTCAAGAAGTGACCATAGAGTCGGCCAAATAGCTCCACGGATGAGATTAGAGGAGAGAGAAACACCTTCTACGATCTAGATCTAGATCTAGGTTAGCTTAGATCACTATATATGCTAGTTGTAAGTAGGGAATACATAACTTTAGTTAGATCGATCGTGGAAATAACGAAATCTTGTTCGAAAATTGTTTTCCCTCGCGTAGGAAGTGAACAATTTTGGAATGACACTTCCGGTTATGCGACTACCAGTCCTCCTCAGTATTTAAGATAAACCACACGTCACATTATTCATTGTTTAAGTATCGAATCTATATTTAGTCTGTATACGATCCTACGGTTTTCGAATATCACTTATATTCCAGTTCATTGCGATTCTTATGTTAATGTTAGCTCTCTGAATGTGTAAGTGGAACTGTACTCTTAGTACTTAGTAATTGTTTAAGCTCGATCTTTGAATAAATGTGAATAATTTATTAATTTTTGTGACTTTATTTTTATATATGCTTTAGTCAACAAGCCAACAAATATTTAAAGGAAAATGTGGGGTTTCCTTAAAGTTTAAAAGGAACTTTAGAAGTAACTAAAATAACATTTTTATTATAATGGTTTATGAATTTATTAACTTACATAACAACAGTTTAAAACTGTTCGCTTGTTATATTTTATTTAATTATTATATTTATTTATTTCTATAAATTTGTTGGCAAATGTTATTTTACTCTTATTTAATAATTCAAAATCGATAGGCAACGGACTATCGTGATATTCTTAAAGCAAATAATGGCGCCTATCGATGCTATCCATCTGCCATGCTGCCATCGATAGTTTCACATATGTGGTCACACCAGCGCATTCTTGGAGGATTAGGCGTTGTTGTTGTTCGGTGGTTGTGAATCAAAATAAGAATAAATAAGTGGCTCAATATTCGCTAAGACTACATATAATCCCTTAGTGATAAGTGGAATTAAAATCGCTAATTAACCACACTTTTAGCAAGTGCAAAGATGGGTTGTGCCGAGAGCAAAGACGGGGAAGGGGAGGCTGGAAACAATAGGCCTAAATACCGGTCCTGTACGGACACCTGCTGGCTGGCTATTTACATTATTTTCTGGTTGTTTTTGGTAAGTTTCTAATCGGATTTTCCCTTATAAGCTATATATAAAAATATGTGTATCAGGGAAAGTGAAAGTTAAGAGATTAATCTGCGCAATGTTTCTGTGTGTCTGCTGCTGCTCTTTGTGTCTCGGTGTGTGTGTGAACGTTTTTTGCGCGCCGTTTACGAAGAGGAGGAGGTGGTGGCGGCCGCGACATGTTACTTGGTGAGACATTAGTGTCGTCATCGCCCCCGGTCATGAGTGGAATTGTTAATTCAGCTAATGAATGCGATGATTTAACATTCCGGCCTTATTCCCGGGGCTAAAAACTAGGGCCAAATCCATGTGGATTTTGAATCAATTATGGCTTGTTCAGTGTCCTGTGGTGGACACACGCCACTCCCCGAACCCAGAAAGATATGCATGTCCATCCATTAAAGCGATTATACTAATAATGCCCATAGACATGCCATGACATCGGCGTGGGCGTTGGCCCAACCACACACTCACTTAATTTTCCCTGACTTTAATTCCACTTTAAATTGATTGAAACTCCACTTTTGCCTTGCAGATTGTGATAGCGATATTTTCGTTTGTTTACGGCAATCCCTTGCGTATCATCAATGGCTACGACTCCTTTGGAAACACCTGTGGCGTCAAACACAACGAAAAGTTCCAGGGCTTTCCGCTGTCCGGCATGAACACTCTTGACAAGCCGCAACTGTTTTATTTTGACGTCAAGGAGTTGAAGAAATCGCTAAAGATATGCGTCAAGACCTGTCCCTCCAAAACCATGACTACGGGCAGTGAATTGCTGGAGTATTACACCAAGACAGGCACCCAGCTCTGCAAATACGATTACAACATGCAGCAACTGGCTGCGGTTAGGGAGGACAAGAGCGTCTTGAATTTCCTGGGCCCCTGTCCCAGCCTTCCGGTTTACGAGAGGTATGTCCAAGCCGTTAATCCAGTTTAATGTTGAATTTACTTATTTTTCCCTTTTCAGCAACCCAATTTTGCATCGTTGTGTGCCCAAAGGGACTGGTGAAAAGTTCCAAGACTTCTACGACATGCTCAACAACTGGGATGTGGCCCAGCAGTTCATAGGGGATGTCTATTCCTCCTGGCACATTATTGCCATGGTGTGCGGCCTTGCCTTGCGTATGATTTATATTAATTATATTTAAAACTTAACTAAATTAATTGTGTTTCTTAGTTATTTCCATTGCTTTGGTGACCATGATGCACTGGCTCTCGCGTGTCGTTTCCTGGATCATCTGCGTCTTGGTTATAGTGGCTAGCGTTGGACTTGCTGGTGCTCTGTGGTATGCCTACTATAACATTCGTTACAAGTCGGGTATTAATGTACAGTACACGCGTCTGGAGGAGTTTGTCCGCAATCAGGATGCGGTTTTAACCCTTGCTGTGTTGGCCACCATAACTATGGTGAGATATATTACAATTGTGTACAAGACTCTTGGTCATTAATAATATGTTTGTAGATAATTCTCATTGTGATCATATACTTCTTGAAGAACAAACTGGCCGGCTTGTCAGCTTTGTTCGAGGAAGCTGGCCAGTGTATGATGAATCTCCCAGGACTCCTGATCGCTCCGCTACTAGCCTTCATCGTTTTGATAGCGTTTTTGAGCTTCTGGGTCGTGGTGGTCATATGTCTGGCCACAGCCAGCTCACCCGGTCAGAGTCCCATAGCTCCATTTGACAATTCGGCGGCACATCAGCAGCCGTTGCCTACGAATGCGGTGTTTGTGGCGAACAGTACCAGTATTAACCATCAAAGGAGTAAGTATAAGTGGGCTTATTGATTAATTTTTCAGAGACTTAACTGGTTTTTAAACCGGCTGATTGAAATAATCTAAAGACTATCTTTTTGTTTATTTATGATTCGATTTTGGTGAATAAGTAAGTGATATTGATAATAAGGGCACAGAATTTTGAACTTTTGTAAATATTTCTGTGTTTCTTCATCACTCTTTTTTGGATCCAATTTGTACATACAATACTTAATGGTTTTACTTTATCTCCTCATTGCGTTCAATATAATAATATTATTATTCTTACTTTACAATAGCCGTTTCACGCGTAGAGTATGCCGATGCCGGAGCCTTGCGCAGCATGTTCTGGATTTATGTCGTGGGTCTCATTTGGACGGTGGAGTTCATATTCGCTTGCCAGCAGTTTGCCCTGGCTGCTGCCGTTGCCTTCTGGTACTTTGGCAAGCCCACAACCACACCGACTATCTATGCCATTGGCAAGCTGATCAAATATCATCTGGGCACAGTGGCCAAGGGGTCGTTTGTGATCACCATTTTCAAGATTCCTCGCTTGATACTCACGTACTTGTATGCTAAGTAAGTAACTTTTCTTGGAAACTAGTTTCTCTTTTTAACTAAGCAATTTTCATTCCACAGACTGAAGAAGGGCGAGGATAAGGGCTCTGAGTGCGCCGCCTGCTGCTTGAAGTGCTGCATTTGTGGCTTCTGGCTGCTGGAGAAATTTATTCGCTTCCTCAACCACAACGCCTACACTGTTGTTGCCATCGAGTCCATTAACTTTTGTCCAGCCGCAGGCATTGTAAGTTTTTAAATTAATTTATAAATTAAATCAGATTTAATATGTAATTACCTTTTTAGGCTTGGAATGCCATGGCCACGAATGTCTTGCAAGTGGCTACCATCAACAGCGTCGGCGACTTCATCCTCTTTTAGGAAAAGTTGTGGTGGCTGCCCTCTGCGGCCTGATTGGTATTATTATGCTCAAGGATATGCCCGGTCTGAATTTCTACATGGCTCCCGTCATCCTCATCATAATATTCTCCTTCTTTATTGCTCACATTATTCTATCGCTGTTTGAGGTACGTTTACCCCTAATATAAGGTTCAAGAGAAGTATAACTAACTGTTTTCCTTACAGATGGTGGTGGACACCCTCTTCCTGTGCGTCTGTGAGGACAAGACCATCAATGGTCGCGCTGGACGCTGGGCGCAGAGTAATCTAGCCAAGCTGGTGGGCGAAGAACCGCTACAGCCCGGCGAGGAGCCACCCATTCAGGTTGTAGAGATGATGCCCATCAACAAGCAGCCATTCAGTATTACACGACTCCCTCCCTCCGATCCCGAGGTGGCTCCCATGTCGCCAGAGTAGCTTTAACAGCCACAGCTAGAATCGAAACTCAACGCACATCTCATTCTAGGATGCTAATATTTATATATATGTATAACCGTAACTCCGTCGCGACGTACAAAAAGCAGACCAGTAATCTTGTCTATATTGATATTCAAACTTAGGATGCACAGTTTGTAAAAGTATTTATAAAGTTTGTAATCGTTTTTGTATCTAAATGTATTTTAAACCTTTTTCACACGTTTCACTGCCTTTGCCTTCTTCTTCTCGATCACCTCTTTAACGGCCTTCATTTGCTTCTCCTTGATCTTCTTGGTCAACGCCGCCTTGGGTGTTTTCGTGGCGCTGTCCTCCTTCTTCTTCTTTGCTATCGCAGCTAGAATCTTGGCCGTCTCTATGGGATCATCGTCCTCAAAGAGTTCCTCGTTTTCGCCGCCTTCGTAGGCCTGCACAGGTCGCGTGGCCTCGTGCTTAACCTTCTGCTCCACCCGGTTCACGTACTTGTCCTTGGCTGCCTTCTTCAGGATCTGTCGCTGCTTGGCGGGGCTCACATACTCGGGATTCTCCCAGAGGGTCTTGCCCGTAAAGGAGCCGTCGAATATTTTCACGGGATTCATCACATAGCGTGGACCTACCTCGGATAGGCCACCATCCTCGGAAAGAATTTGGAAGTTTCTGAACCAGATGCGGTTATCCAAATAGGTAAAGGTGAATACATGGTCGACAAAGGGCTGGCTCTTGGGGTGATGATTGGGCACCGAGTAGGTCTGTACGAACAGCTCCTTGAGCAGCTTCAAATGCGGCAGCTCGTCGAACTTGGAGTCGAAGGAGAGCAGTGGACGGGAGCCGCGGAGGCAGTTGCCCGTCATCTTTAGCTCGGCCATTGTGTGGATGTTCTCGATCAGAAACTTGGCCGACGGACCTGTGGACCCAGATGTGTTGGACACCCACATATACAGGTCCCGCTTGCGCCGGCCCTCGAAGAGCATGGCCTTGTTGCAGTGCTTCATTTCGCACATTTCGTTTACCACCGATAATGTTTTAGAGCGCTCCATCTTTGACTCGGGGCGGTGGTGTGGCATCAGGGTCTTGATATCCCGCATGAGATGTCTGTCTCGGTGACTGATTCCGCGGGCGGCGAATACCAGGACGCGTTGTTTGTTTACCCATTTCTCCTGCAATAATAAATACAGCGTTTTGGTTGGGAATCATGCGAGTTTCAATGGCTTAGACATTACCTTCTTTGGCACCGCCTCGTCGGAGGATCTCTGCGCGGGCAACGGAGGGTTCTCATCGAGCGGCACAATCTCGAGCTGCTGGACCTTCTGTTTCTTTTGGAATTTGCGGCCCATTGATTTGGTTTAATTATTTAAAACAACTTTGAAAGAAGAGCAACAGCGAAACAACGTGTTTTCAAATGAAAACAACTAGGGATGGACTCTCGAACATAACCAGGGTGTCAACAGCACGTGCAAGATAGAAATTTTAAGCGATAGCGCTTTCCAACCCTGGACTAAGAATATTTTCAGTGCGATAGTTTTTCAATTTGAATTTAAACAAGATGTATTGTATTGAATTTAAATTCTTCTATTATTTTAAATGTTACTATAAATGCTACGTTAATTCTTTTGGTTATAGCCTAAATTTTGTAATATTTATTTTTATTTATACATTTCAAGGAAACATTTGTTAATCCTCCTCTTCCTCCAGTCCTGGTTCAGGACACAATCGACATCTGCTCTCGTTTATTCCATTATTTACGCAATTCTCTCCCACACACTCGCAGCAGCCATCGTGAAACCATCTATAGCTGGTGGCTCCTGCCTTGAGGCAGGTTTGGCGGCATCTGTTCCAGGACGTGCACTGATCGAGATATAGAACGGTGCAGTTCAGGTGGTCGTCGACTGGAGATGTCACCACGCTCCAATGGCAGGTGTATCCATCATTTGGGGACGAAGCCATAGCGCGAAACAAAGCTGATACTCCTTCAAACTCTTCAGTATGCGATTTCTTTTGAAGTTCTGTCAAGGTAGCAAAAGCAATTTGCAAAAATGAAAGGGTAAATAAGATTTTCACCAGTAAGTGCATGTTGACTAGCCAATTCTTACTGAACCGTCTGATCCGTGTGGTGATGGTTTTAACCTGTGCAGGTAGAATATACATTGAGACAGGTAGCGGGAATACTGACAGATGTTTCCAAAAGGTCCTATGGGTTACCTACTTTTTGTAGGTTCATAGACGCATATTTGTGTTTACCCTTTATTTTATATATTTGATAAACATATTTAGAAAGTAAAAGACGTTTTTAAGTATGACCAGGTGCAAATGAGGAACATCATCAAAACTATGTCATATTACCGGCAGCCGAATACGTCCTTACACTTTTTATGTATACGTCGCGTCGAACGAGAAAAAAATAAGTTGCAGAAAAATTATTTGCAGAAATAGTAATAAAGCTTAAAATTGGCAACCGCAAACATAGAGAATATAAGCAGAAAAATCATGTCGGACTATCGTTCCCAATCTCGAGGCGGCGGACGTGGCGGCCAGGAGTACTCCAACGACGACGATCCGCCGATGTCGCGCCTGTTCATTATTTGCAACAAAGGGCACACCGAGGAGGACTTCCGCGAGGCGTTCTCGCCGTACGGCGAAATCGAGGACATTTGGGTGGTGAAGGACAAACACACGCAGGAAAACAAGGGCATCGCCTACGTCAAATTCTCCAAGACATCCGATGCGGCCAAGGCTCAGGAGGAGATGAACGGCAAGACAATTGGCAAGATGGACCGGACGCTCAAGGTCCTGGTGGCGGCGAAGTAGGTTACAATCTCGCCGACGATTCCAACACACGGACTTATTATCTCTTCTATTTTTATAGCCGCAACCAGGGCTCAAACAAGTCTGAGAACGAGCAGGAGAAATACGTGAGACTGTTCATTGTGATTCCCAAGACGGCCACTGAGGACGACATCCGCGACGAGTTTGCTCAGTGGGGTGAGGTGGAGTCTGTGACCATTGTCAAGGAGAAGAACAACGGCAACCCCAAGGGCTTCGGCTATGTTCGCTTCACCAAGTGCGTATCGAGTCGGCCGACAGCATGACTAATGATCGGGATGTGATTAATGTGAGAAATAAACCTTATTTGCAGATTCTACTATGCCGCTGTGGCCTTTGAGAGCTGCTCGCCCAAGTACAAGGCTGTGTTCGCCGAGCCCAAGGGCTCCACACGCACGCAGCGGGATCAGTACGGTCGTCCCGCCGACGACAATCCCCTGTACAGCGGGTCCGGACGCGGGGGCAGCTCCAGCTTCAATGGCGGCGCCGGCAGCGGAGGAGGTGGTGGCAGCGGTGGCAACAGCTTCAACAACGACTGGAATGTGTCGGTCAACAATGACATGTCGGCCTTTTTGCGAATGCAGAATGTGCCTGTGGCTCAGCCGTCGTGTCTTGAGGTGACTGTGAGCAATTGCGTTAACCAAGACCAGCTGTGGCGCCTCTTTGACATTATTCCCGGCCTCGATTATTGTCAAATTATGCGCGAACGTAACTATAATACATTTTCTAATTCTTTATGTACTGAAACTAACGGTTGCATTCCAAACAGATGGCCCACGTACCAACGAGGCTCTTGTTGTCTACGATAATCCAGAGGCAGCGATATATGCCAAGTAAGATTCAACATTGATCAATTAATTCTTACAGCATTAACATTATTTTATGCAGGGACAAACTTCATGGACTGGAATACCCAATGGGCGAACGCATCATTGTAAAAGTGAACGGCATGAGTTCAGCTCGAATGGACACCTCATTTATAGACAGTAAGCTATTGTAATCCTTTAAGCAACGCTGGAACGTGTTTACTATTATTTATAATTTCGGTTTCAGAGCGTACCAAAAAGGATGCCATCTGCAATGTGCCTTTGCCACCCACACAGCCTCTGGCTTCGCCCGATGAACAGGTGGCTCAACGACTGTTTATTGTACTTTCAGCTGTAGGTCTACCTTATATTTCGTGTCGAATTGACATTAGTTTTAAACACTGTTTCTTCAATTCAGAATTTGCCACACTCGATCTTGAAAAACATATTCTCTTGCTGGAGAGGGCTTATCGACGTCTACCTGCTGCCCAACAAGAACTGCGGGTATGTTAAATACTCGGACAGCGAGAGCGCCCAAGAGGCCATACACGTTCTAAACGGAGCCGAGATTTGCGGCACTAAAATAAAGGTAAGGGTTTTTCTTTGATAGCAACGTAGAAGGATTCTTACCACGCACTTCTTTTTTAGGTAATGGAGGCGGAGGAGCGCAGTGGATCCGATGGCGACGACGGAGGACGCAAGCGGCTAAGGCGGAACTGAGTGGTAAGTGGCGTAGTCCTAATGCTAATATTCCAAATCTATATTAATGTAGCCGTAGTTGGAATGAGTATGAATGTGCCGTGGTCCGAGGTAAGTAGTTGTGTAAATTCCAAAAATACCGAACCCATTTATCAATTTTATATACGACGCATTCGCCAGACAGTTCGTTCTGCCAGAGATTAGTAGTATTTACCCAGAGCACAGTGGACCACGACCACCGACCACCAACTGAGCTAACATAATAAGCCAAAGCATTTTTATCTTTCTATCTCCACAGACCCACTGACAACAAAAAAGAACTAACAGAGAACGAGTACGAAACTAACTTGAGAGAACAAACAGTCCGATAAAACAGTTAAACTGACCGCAACAGCAACAAAACCAAACAACAATAACCACCCAAAACACTCATAACGGAATGCCACAAAAACTGCGCTGACTGGACGCCGGAGAACGAAGAACGAAGAACGCAACGGAGACAGGAGACCGGAAACGGAAACGGAGACCGGTGACCAGCGACCGGAGAACAATAGCCAAGAATCCGCCACATACTCCCGTAACCGTACTCGTACCATTGACTTACTCAAGTGGGGTCATAGCAAAGACCCCTCTTGTTGACCTTTAAACGAAGCCAACGAAACCGCAATGCTTGCTCTATGACGTACTCATATTTATAGCAAAACCGTTTATATATAGGGGACTTTAGATCGTTCCGTCTAACAGATGTGAACTCTGTCTTTACCCATCATTATTATTATTATTTACTAACGTATTCCGACTAGATCCAGCTAAGCAATGAATTTCATGTGTAATGAGTGTCTCAAAAATAACCTCACGAACTAGCCGTGCATACATAAAAAAACATATATTTTTACATATATGTAATATAACATTTAAGCGATACTTTACCTTGTAAGCTCTGAAATTTATATATACATATATATATAAAAATAAATGGCTGAATGCCCAAATATATGAATGGAATCGACAAAATATATTATCTGGTTTTATTTAAGACAAGGGAATTGGTAAATGGTGATATTTTAAATACTTTCTATACTTTCTTAGGGGGGTCTTAGATACCCTATAAATCATATTTATTCTTGATCAGAATCAACAGACGAGTCGATCTAGAAATGCCCGATAGAGTTGACTTAATTATATTTTAAAAATTTTGATATAACAAACAAAACTGATATATATTTCGATTTGCCATTAAAATCTTAGTTATTTAATAATGTAATTATTTAAAAAATTTAAATAAACCTCAATAAACAATCGAAATTAACCACCAGAAGCAAAACATCGACTTTACCGATAGTTATCGATGTGTTCACATCCCTAGAGCACAGCTGAGCTGGAAGTTGTTTAGATTTAGCAATTTGTTGATATCAGGACATTGAAATTCCCTTTTTGTACGAGGAAGAAAATAAATCTAAAAAAATGGATCCAGCACTGCTTCGCGAACGCGAGGCCTTCAAAAAGCGGGCAATGGCCACGCCCACGTGAGTACCAATCAGACTTCCTTTGTTAAACATTGATTGAAATCAAAAATACTACGATAATCCTTTTGAAATAGCATTGAGAAGAAGACGAAGACTGAACGCCCACTGCCACCGCCAGTCAGCGATGAATCCAAGCGAAGGATGCGTCCGCCTACGGCTCCCAAGCTGGATGCCACAACGTGAGTTCAAAATGAGCACTTTGAAAGGTTTGGACCTGGGTCTTACCATGTGGAGCACTTGCATCCCATCCGCAGGTACAAGACCATGTCGGGCAGCTCGCAGTACCGCTTCGGAGTGCTAGCCAAGATCGTAAAATTCATGCGCACGCGTCACCAGGATGGCGACGATCATCCACTGACCATTGAGGAGATTCTGGACGAGACCAACCAACTAGACATCGGGCAATCTGTAAAGAATGTAGGTGGTTATTCACAAAGTACTCCTTATATTATATGATATTTGTAATCCATTCTAGTGGCTATCTGGCGAGGCTCTAAACAACAATCCCAAGATTGAGGCAAGTCCCTGTGGTACCAAGTTCAGCTTTAAGCCCGTCTACAAGATCAAAGATGGCAAAGCCCTGATGCGGTTGCTCAAACAGCATGATCTGAAGGGTCTGGGTGGAATCCTGCTTGAAGATGTCCAAGAATCTCTGCCGCACTGCGAAAAGGTTCTTAAAAACCGAGCCGCCGAAATATTGTTCATTATCCGACCTATTGACAAAAAGAAGATATTGTTCTACAACGACAGGACAGCTAACTTTTCGGTGAGCTTTCCTTAATTTTGAATTTTTGGTTTAATATAACTCCTAAAACAAATGAAAGTGAGTTGAGAAGAATCTGACTTCAATTTTTAAATATTTTTTTTCAGGTGGACGATGAATTTCAGAAGCTGTGGCGATCGGCTACCGTCGATGCCATGGACGATGCTAAAATCGATGAGTACCTCGAAAAGCAGGGTATTCGTTCCATGCAAGATCATGGCCTCAAGAAACCAGTTCCCAAGCGCAAGAAGGCGGCTAACAAGAAGCGCCAGTTCAAGAAGCCTCGAGACAACGAGCATTTAGCCGATGTTCTGGAGACCTATGAAGACAACACACTAACGCTGAAGGGAGTAAATCCCACGTAGAAGTAGAGTACGCTAAGATTAGACAATAAAAATAACTCTCAATGGAAAATAAGTACATTTGAAGTTGAGCATTATAAATTTCTTCACTACTATGCCGATGCAGATTTATGAAACCAGATAACCGGCTGGCAGTGGCTTTGAACTTAAAAAATACAACGCCAAGAACACTCTGGGAAAGATAATTAAAAAGCAAAACTGTGTAATCTTGTCTTGACACTCACAACAGCAGCGACTGGTGCGTGTGTGCGAATTGGCCTGGCCGGCAATCGATGCTGGTGGGCGCCGCTGCTGATAAAACTGGCAACCGAGGGAAGCCATAGCCTCAGTTTTCATTGAACAGCCCCCAGGTGCAGTCCAGTAAGCAGTTGCAATTGATTCACAAGTACGTGCGCCTGTGGAATAATAACCAACAATTCACATAACAGGCTTTGGGTTGATTTTGTGACGGATTAGGTCATCCTTGTTTGGGGGTTGTTGGCTGCAATCGACGAAAGATTGTTATTAAATATTGGGAAGCACAACTATTACATATTTTTTCCAATGCAATAAGTTTGCTTTAGTTATTTGTGTACCGATACGGAATGATTCAGAGCGGATGCAATAAAATTAATTTATATTTATACATTTTCTTAAAAGGTTAATGACATTTAAAAATATTTTTCCGCATTTTTTAAAATTATAGGAAGCAAATAAATTACGAAAAGGTTTAAGACAGCATATTTTCTTTGAAAACATTACTATAATTCAAAGAATTAAAAATTAAACTGGTATATCTTACGCCTTGATTTAACCTACGCGTAAGGAAAGGGTATTCAAATGTAGACTTTCGCAAAATCCGTTCGTTTGTTTACTCTGCTCGCTGGTTTTCTGGCACGGACAATGAGCTCTCTGCCTCAAAGACGGCAAAAACTTGTTTTGAAATAACCAATTTGTTTAATTTGAATTCCCGAAGCGTTCACCGCAGTTGTCTTTGAGAGTTTCTGCATTGAGGTTGGTAAAATGAAGCGGAGCGTACTAGGAGCAACGCTGCTCCTGGCCCTGGTGGGCCCACTAATCGCCCACAGTTCTGAGTAAGTCGATTTATCGAATATATATAGGGCTAACCCGGAATACTTACTGACTTTCTCTTTGTGCTGTTGCTCACTCGTTCCTCACGTCCAGCAACTTGGTGGTTTACGGCTACCAGTGCCGGAAAGGTCTCTGCCAGAAGGTGGAGCTCAGCGAGGACAACTTCGCCCAGGCGATAAGCCTTCCCGTGTGTCGTCTTTTCTGCGGCAGCACCATCGGCACTGTTTGGCCTAAGCCAACAGGTGCTGTACGTCTGGATTCGCTGATGCGCCAGGTGGACATCTCGTTAATCGACTTTAATTTCAATGGAACCATCGCCCGCAAGGAGAAGCTATGGAAAGCGGCCGAAAACCGCTGGATGGACTTGCTGGACGCCAAGATCCCTGAGCGCAAGATCCTTGCCAGGGGAGGCTATCGCATGTCCGTCAACATCAACACTCCCGACGACGGCGCTCCGGCCAAACTCACCCTGGACACCGATGAAAGTTACGTCCTGGACATCGATACAGATGTGTCGGGTCATGTACTAGCCAACATTACTGCGGCTAATTTCTTTGGCGCCCGCAACGGTCTGGAGACCCTGGCCCAGTTGATCGTCTACGATGATATCAGAAGGGAGGTCCAAGTGACCGCCAACGCCACCATCAGTGATTCGCCGGTGTACAAGTGGCGTGGATTGCTTCTGGACACTTCCCGGAACTTCTATTCGGTGAAGTCGATCAAGAGGACGTTGGGTAAGGTCTGATCTTAGTTACTCTTTCACAAAAGCTTTAACTCTTTCTGCAACCCACAGAGGGCATGGCCTTGGTCAAGCTGAACACCTTCCACTGGCACATCACAGACTCACACAGCTTCCCCTTGGAGGTGAGCAAGCGCCCTGAGCTCCACAAGCTGGGAGCCTACTCCCAGCGTCAGGTTTACAGCCGCCGCGACGTAGCCGAAGTTGTGGAATACGGTAGAGTGCGAGGCGTGCGCGTGATGCCAGAGTTCGATGCGCCCGCTCATGTGGGCGAGGGATGGCAGCACAAGAACATGACCGCCTGCTTCAATGCCCAGCCGTGGAAGGATTTCTGTGTAGAGCCGCCGTGCGGACAGTTGGATCCCACCGTAGAGGATATGTACAATGTGCTGGAGGACATCTATGAAACTATGTTTGGCCAGTTCGATCCTGACGTGTTCCATATGGGCGGCGACGAGGTGTCCACCAATTGTTGGAACAGCAGTCGTACTATCCAGACGTGGATGAAGAAGCAGGGCTGGGGCCTGGAGACCGCCGACTTTATGCGCCTGTGGGGCCACTTCCAGACGAACGCGCTCAGCCGGGTGGACAAGGTAGCCAATGGCACCCACACGCCCATCATCTTGTGGACCAGTGGTCTTACCGAGGAGCCCTTCATCGACGAGTATCTAAACCCGGAGCGCTACATTATTCAAATCTGGACGACGGGCCTTGATCCCAAGGTGAAGAAGATCCTGGAGCGGGGCTATAAGGTGATTGTGTCCAACTACGATGCCCTATACTTGGATTGCGGCGGCGCAGGCTGGGTGACCGACGGCAACAACTGGTGCTCTCCCTACATCGGCTGGCAGAAGGTGTACGATAACAGTCTGAGGACCATTGCCGGCGACTACGAGCACCATGTCCTGGGCGCAGAGGGAGCTATCTGGTCGGAGCAGATCGACGAGCATACGCTAGACAATCGTTTTTGGCCGAGGGCCAGTGCACTAGCCGAACGCCTGTGGTCAGATCCTGTGCAGGTCTGGCGGGACGCTGAGGCGCGTCTGCTGCTGCACCGCGAGAGGCTGGTAGAGAACGGTCTGGCCGCGGAGGCTATGCAGCCGCAGTGGTGCCTACAGAACGAGCACGAGTGTCCCATTGACGCGTACGATGCACAAGCGGCTTGATCCGCGGTTATTAAGCCTTCCCCGATGATAATGGTCACTATTCTTGTAGTTTTAGTCCAGGTGGCGGTGGTGGGCGTCTTTGGTTGATCGTCCTGCTCTTCCAGCTATTCACAGCTCTCTCCGCCTGAAATAAATCAGATACAAGGCTCAAAAGTGACCTTACGCAAGTGACTTGTCGTTTATTATCGTTTAGCATAAATGAGATTATTGGCCCTGTTGTGCCCAACTCTGTTCCGATCTGGATTGGCGGACGTGGAGCCGATGAAGCTTGTTCATTTCTAAACTAGTTAGTCTGAGTAAAATGTTTAAAGCCGTATAATTTGTATGCTAGAATTTTGGAACATTAAAATTTCATCGATTCCGGTCGGAAGCAGAGTTGGACGAGTTATGCCTTTATATGGGGTGAGGCGGCACTGCCTCAAGCACACAACTCCGCGGACTCTGATTATGTACGTATGAGTCTAAATACTAAAAGCATCGTTCCCTTGGTGAGCGCAATTGAATGGAAGCCCTCTACTCGTTCCACTCCTCCTCGTTGCGTCCAAACTTGTAGACCAGGCTGGCAAACAGAATAAAGACGTTCTGCAGCAGCAGGGCAACGCCAAACCAGCTCTCCTTTTTCTCTGTGGAGGTATTATAATGGTAATCGAAGGTAAATACCTTTTGATGGGAACTTTCTCACCATTGTTGATAAAGTCATCGATCATCACCCAGACGGCGGCTATGATGGAGGCGAAGCCCATGACAAAGCCCACTAATAGCCAGATCTTGGCTATCCTGGCGCCCGACTCCGACGAGTTCTCTTCAGAAATCTACGCGGAGGGCAAAAGAAACAAACAAACAAAAGGAGTGAGTCATTTTTCGCGCAATCTACTAAGGGTTCCTCTGTCTTACATGTTCCCCTTTGACGGCATTCACCATGCAGAAGCTGATGGTACCAAATATCCCGATGAAGACATGTCCTGTGGTTATCTGGTGCTTGCCGTCAATAGACATGGCATCGATTAGGATCCACCATCCTGCGAAAAACTTTAGAGGCAAGAGAAAAACTTGCATTGTCAGAGGGACGGAAACTGTGCGGCTCGGCGACCGTTTTCTCACCAGTAGACCAGCTATGAGGGAGGAGTTCTTGTTCCTTGCGGCTTCAACAGTGAAGTAGGTTGCGACATTGTCCAATAAGCCCATTGTTTAGCTTTTAAAACGTAATTTAATTTATTCTGATAAGTTTCTTGTTTTGACGAACAGGGTTGTCGTTGTCTACCGCAGAATAGTGGTGTAAAAATACCATTGGGTACTATTATCGATATTTCGATAGATTAAGTATGGGTGGGCGTGATTAGTATTGCGTGACGTAATTTAATTCGTAAGAAATTAAACTTTTTTAAATATGTATGTAAATATAAAAGTTGTTCTTTTAACCATTACCATTTTACCATCTTTACCTTTTTTTAAATAAAATTTTAATTTTACAGCAAATTTTAATAATTTCTAGTGTCGTGATGTAAAATTTTCGACGTGCATGCGGAAGTAAAACTTTACATGCCCATCCCTATGTTTATTTAAATATAATGACAACCCTGGTACCTGACCAATTATTTTCACTTAAATTTCAGTGGCTGTTGCGTGCAATCCCCGCAATTCCTTATTATTTAACATCCGATCGCAGCGACACGAGTGTGTGCGTGTGGTCACTGATTAGATAGAGATCTAGGAGTCTTCTCGCCGCCATGCTAGTCATAAATACCTGCAGGAACGTATCCAGGCTGGCGCTCCGCAGTCTCAACCTGCGATCGCCGATCGCTCTGCGCACTTTCTCGGCGGGTCTGGCCCTGAAACAGAAAGATGTGTGAGTTTCGAATGGACTAATGTGTAAACAACATAAACATTGATCAATCGTCGTTTGCAGTGTTAACGTAACCTTTGTTCGTGCCAATGGGGACCGGATCAAGGCGTCCGGTAAGGTGGGCGACTCCCTGCTGGACGTGGTGGTCAATAACAGCGTGGATCTGGATGGATTCGGTGCCTGTGAGGGCACCCTGACCTGTTCCACCTGTCATTTGATCTTCAAGACGAACGACTACGAGAAGCTGCCCGACAAGCCTGGCGACGAGGAGCTGGACATGCTGGACTTGGCCTACGAACTAACGGATACCTCGCGCCTTGGCTGCCAGATCACGCTTTCCAAGGACATGGACGGCCTAGAGGTACATGTACCCTCTACCATAAACGATGCCCGCGCTGCGTAAACGAAAAGCTTTGTTATCTATTGTTGCAATTTTGAGTGCTAATACGCTTTAGTTTAGGTCTAAATATTTGAATGAAATCGTATGTATTGTCCCAGGGACACCGAGGCTCAGGCGACTATTATAGATGCGCGTGCATAAATTCGATTCCAGAGGCGGTTTATGCACGCTGTTGTTTTTTTAAAGTGTTTAAGCTCAAAGGGATGTATCTAGCTGAATATGTAAATATGTGTGTTTGCCAATAAATTTACATGTATTTTCGTAGATGGAGGTTTTTTGCGAATTATTGAGATGTCGGCTTAGGATATGGGTATAGGGTTCTAAAGAGCACAGTATATGCGTTGAATCCGTAGTAGGCACATCTGTATACGCGGTCTAAGCACAACCGGTTTCCGCTTTCTTTTTTTAATGCATTCAGCCTACTAAGGGTTCTACGAAGGTGTGTTCTAATTAATCCTTCAAGGAAGTATAGCTATCTAAGAAGCATGAGCCTGATATAATTGTTAAAAGTTTTCTGCTTATTTTAGACAAGATTGTAGCTCAGAACCTGCCTGATAATGTTTTGAAACTGCTGCTCGCTTAATGATAAGACCAGTATTCTCGCTGTCAGAATGATGTTGCACTTTTTCTACGCAAAACCATGAGTAGCTAAAATTTATTTAATATTTTATTAGACTTCTGAGAAAACTTAGGGTAATAATCATTTGACAGCAATTTATTTGAATGAACGTTTGTTTGGTTCATAGATAATTGCCAGGCTAATCATTAATCGCTATTTTCAACAAACTAGTTTTATTTCAAACAAATCTTTTGCCCAGAGTCACTTAGTGCCAAAACAAAGGCTGTTATCAAAAGCACCTCGAACCAAACATTTCATCACCTTGATAAAGTTTGCATTGGCTTAGTTTGTTGTTTATTATCGGAGCGATAAGGGAAAAAGCAGAGTGCTTAATAAAAGTAAACTTTTTATTATTTCGCAGCTATCAAATAAAGTAATAAATAAATAATTTAATATATACATTTGCTATATTAACTTATTGTAAACGATTTTCTGCTTTTCCATGTTTGCCGCTCCATCCTTTACTTCGATATTAACTTGCATATGTAACATATCTGTCCGATATCAGATAGCATTGTAGTTATAACTGAAACTTAACAAGTCTGACAATTCAATTTCGCTTCGTCCTAAAACTAGGGAGGCATTTAGTGGATAGAAACAGGGCTTGGTTGGGAAAGGAGGAAACCATTTCGCGGGATAGGGGGAAAATAAATAACCGAAGAATAAATAGTCAAGATAGAGATGATGACAGGGGTGTTGGGTGATCCTCTCGTGAGGATTCCCGATGCGTGATGGGTGCTAGGTGTGTTGGTTGCTGAGTTTCTGAAGTGCACATAAAACTGATTTGGTTTTCTGTTCACGCCGATCGTCGTCGCTGATGCTGATGGTGATGATGCTTCCCAGATCCCTGATCTCGATTCCAGATTAGTTCACATAGGCCATGCCCGCTCCCTTGCGGTCAAAGTGGCGCACGCGCACGAACAGGAAGGCGGCGACTAGAGAGGCCACGGCCAGGACCAGTAGGAGCATAACCAGACCGCCGACAAAGCTCGGCACTGACATACAGATGGTCTCCGCATCCGCGGTGCGGGCCGACTGGATCACCACCGTCTCATTGCTGGCATTGCTATTCAACGCAAAGTTCACGTCGCCGGGCGCCACCACCTGGATGATCCGGCTGGTGTTCACGTCCGTCATTTCCTGCGCGTTGCGCTTGTAGATCCTCTGTGGCTTCATCACGATGTCAATGGTGTCGCGGCGCCTTCGCACTCCCCGCAGATCATCCAGTCCCTCCACAGACCTTGGGCGTCCGCCCAGCGAGACCAGGTTACCTCCAGCACTCAGGTCATCCTTGCGCTTCACAGTACTGTACTGACCGCCCTGTCCGGGCAGTGGTGGTGGCGGCAGACCCAACTCGTTGCTACCCGTTGGCTGCGCTCCCTGCGGTGACTGGGAGCTGGCGGGTCCGGAAGGTGAGGCTGAGTCCGCAGTGGGCACCGCAGCCGAGGTCTGGGCCTGGGGCGAGGGCACCACATCAGGCTGGTTCTCCGAGTAAGCGCCAGTGGCATCCGAAGCAGGGTGACGTGGATCAGGATAGGCAGCCGGTGGCAGGACTCCTGGACCGCCCAGGGCAAAATCGTTCCTTTCGTAAGCCTCTGGAGGTCCATACTCCTCGGACAGACCGTTGGCTCCAATCTGGGGCAGACCATATTCGCCGCCCGGCAGACCGGGACCGCACTTGGGCTCGGGGCAGTTGTAGCGACAGACCTGGATCACGCACTGGAAGTGGACGTTCATCGAGTCGGGGAATTTGAAGGCCTGGAAGTAGGCAAAGCTGACCACTGAGGCGGACGGGCCAAAGTTTTTGATCTTCTGGAACTTGCTCATAATCTTGGGACGGACAACGCAGCCATTCTGATCCACCAGCTGGATGGGAGCACGCTTGCCGTCATGGGCCACACAGTTGCGCACCAGCATATCGAACTTGTTCTCGTCGTCCTTAATTGCCAACACCATGGTCATTGTCTGTCCGATCTTCACGATGCCAGAAACCTCAGAGGCCCAGGGTCCCTTGCCCACTTGAATCTGCATCCAGCACTGGAGATTGTCACCCAGGAAGTTAGCCGTAACGGCATGCAGCATGTCCACCTGGAAGGGCCTGAAGGTCACAGCCTTCTCGTAGAAGTCGTACCAGGTGCAACGCAGCTTGCGGGCCTGATCCCACACCTCCTGGACATAGGGATCGTACTGGATGATGATCGTGTTCTCCACATAGCTGCCCGACGGCGTTGGCGCTCCGTATCCGGCCGCATTGTGGTTGGCCGAGCTGGTCATGCCACAGCTATTCAGGAAGATCTCAAAGGTGGCGCTCAGGTGACCGGTGCCCGGCTTCAAATGGACACAGTGGGGATCGCTGTAGAAGCCCTTGGAGAAGATCATGCCGTAGAAGGGCCGGTCGAACTCGATGTTCACCCGCATGTGCGTCTTCTCGCATTGCACCTGAAGGTGCTTGATTTGAGGACTGTCATTGGTGCTGGCCAGGGGCCAGGCCTCCTCCGACAGCTCATTGGTGGCCCCGGTGCTCAGCGGACCCTGGGGCGCTCCATAGATAGGTGCTGGCGGACCATAACCGGCCCTGTGTTCCAGAGGCAAGGCAGCGGACTCAATGTGGGAGGCGTCGCCGTGCACGGAAAGGTGCTGTGTAAATAAATCGAGAGGAGATGGGATAATTTTAATAAAGAGTTTTATAATATTAAGTTTAATAAACTCGGGATTATGGAAATTTAAGTCCGAGTTGGTAAACTATAGAAAAATACATTAGGGATGTATTGTACAATGCTTATCTGGCTTTCACTGCGTATGAGCAATATTCTTCTTAGGGAATATCACTCATACGTACTGTTGCCTCTTAGCACTCATGGTTTACAGTATTAAAATCTACTGATTACAAAGCTGTTTTAAATTTGATTCAAAGCTATCCTTTATTATCAAAGAACTTTGTTTTTAGTTTTATGAAAATATAATATAACTGCCAGAGAAACGGCAGCTAAATGTAGAGGATCAGTAAGTATATTTCAACAGTAAGTATCTATGACCAGTATGTAACTATGATCAGTATGTAACTATGATCAGTAAGTAACTATGAGCAGTAAGTAAATATGATCAGTAAGTAACTCATGTATGATCAGTTACTAACTTTGAACACTAACAAACAATGACTTGCAACTTTTGTAACACAAAACATTTCTGAGACTTGGCCGGCAGCAGTCACTTCGTTCCGGGGATGTTAGAACGAATTGGGAATCATAAGCACAGATGTGCGAGATTTGTTTTGGAACCAATTTAGGCTATTTGTATGAAACTATGGAGCCATTCTTCTATATAATTTTACTTTTATATAAGTCGGAGCATGGCTAATCGGTGGACTATATATATAAAGCTGCCATCGGAACGATCGGAAAATTTTAAGTTTTCAACAGATTTTCATCAAATTTGATATATAGCCATTATATATTAATCGAGAATTTTGTATAAAATTTTATAAAAAATCGATATATCATATAGCTGCCATACAAACGATCGTTAAAAATAGAGGAAAACTAGAGGGGAGTTTCCACACCCTAAGATATCCCCGTTTTCCAACGCAATAATGTCAAAATAATGCCAACCCACCATAAACGTTTCGATTATGGCCTAGGTTATGGCTCAGAGATCACAGGATTGCGGAAAGCTCTTATCTTGGCTTGGCTTGCGCCGGCATTTAATTGGGATTTGGGGCTATAAATATTATGCAATAGCAATCTCCGCCAGACACTGATGACAATTTCGAAATAAGAAGCGACGCGAAGCGTTGAAAATGACACGACAGCTGGAGCTGAAGATGGAGCTCTTGTGTTTTGAAATTAAATGGTTGCCAGAGCGGCACGCTTACCCAAAATTTAAGAAAGAAGGCAACAAAAAAATTGAAAGCACAGAGCTTAACCCATTGCGTAAGACAACGGAGACAGTCAGAGACGGAGCCGGAGACGAAGACTTTCTTCTTTTGGGGGCAGCGCACCGCACCGCCCCGCCCCGCCCCGCCTCGCCTCGCATCTGGTTCATAATTTTTTATGGGTTTCTGGCTGCACACGGGAAGCGGATGTGTCCCACGAAAACCGAAAGTTAAATCCAACACGATGACGGTGTGGATTTTTCCGTGGGCTGCTGTCGCAGCAGTCGCTGTTTCTCCAGTTTATTTGTATTTCTTATTTCTTCTTTTTTTCGGTGGCCGGTGACCACGCGCTGTGAGATGTCGTGAGATGATTTTGAAAGTGAAATGACCAAAGAAAAACGAGCTGCTGGCCAAGCGAACAAACAAACGGCGAAATAAACAACGCCAAGAAAAAAGTCTTTCTTTTTTCGGACATTCCACGCAACGACGCGATGGAGATATCAATATAAACACATCGATGGACCGATCGATCGATGGCATTGGTAATTTTTCTTCTCTCTTTTTTTTCTCCGGGCATTTCACTGCCGATGCAGAAGAAGAAAACTGACAATAAATAAATAATAAAGCAATCTCTGTGAATTAATGCGCCATAAACAAGAAAGTCAAAACTGGTACAAATCAGAGCATAACTGCAATTTCTTCGCCGCCTCAGCACCCAGAGAGACACGCAGTTTGGTTAGCCAACTATCCATCTATCCATCTATCCATCTGGCCAGCTTTGCGTTTTCCTTGACGTGATTGCTGCAGCAGCCTCTAAGACGTGATTGATGCGCTTTAAATAACCCACTGAAGGCTGGCTCTTTGGCTCCCTGGCCAAGGAGGGGGCGAGGGAAAACAGTTTGTCTTGGCCATGCTTATCAATCGAAAGCGCCACGGCAGCCCCCAAGAAATTGAACAGATTTATGGTCGTTTCTAATATTGATTGACAGCCTGCTACGGTGGCACGTCCTAAGGGGTGGTATTTAGTTTGGAAAAAAAAATCATTTAACCTGAGGTTTAGCAGGGGAAAATCTTTCTTTTTCTTTCTATTTTATAGGAACTTGGTTAACAGCAGTTCCCCATTGGAATATTTTCTGCTACCGCCTCTGATCTGTTAATCCTGTGCTCTGTTAAGTGAACGCTAAAGCTATTATACTTATTTTTCCTATATGTATGTCTCCACCTGTTTCTCTCCTCTCTCCTCTTCTAGTAAATTCTCCAAGTCTAATTGCAATGATTAGCAAAGTGCCGTTCAGTTGTTAGTTACATTTTCCATCTCTCTCCACTATCCAACAGAGTCTGGTATTGATATAGATATTGATCTGCCAGCAGAGGCGTACCGCTATATAGTCTTTGGAACCCAATCAATCCATCAATAGGCACTGGAACTCGCACTGATTTGCATTCGAATCGCTATTGATCGAACGGTAGTCCATCTCCCGGCTCTCGTCGAGTCGAAAGTGAAGAGATCCGCTAGAGGTTGGGTCCGCCGCATACGAAATGAGCTGCCCGCCGCCAAAGTGGGCCAATCTTCAGGTGTTTCTCCTACTAACTGTTAACTACAATGGCGTTTCCCCCCTCCCCCAGCAGACGAAGATGAAGATGCTTTAGGAAACACCTTCCGGAATTTTATATTTCTTTTAAGGTAGTAGCATCGCAGCTCTCCCACTCACTCACCTTTGTGTTGAGTACCAGGCATAGTACTATGGCCAGCAGGCTGCTGCGTCGCGTCAGGTGTCCCATTTTGATCTGGTTCTCTGTGTGTGTGCGTGTGTGTGTTGTGTGTGTCGTCGGCTTGAATTTGAAATTCCAAATTGGCGCCCTGGAAACCAAAAAATGTGGATTTTTGGTTTGTCTTCTGCTGCCTCGTCTCTCCTTCACTCGGCGCTGCTTTCTTCGCTCAGTAGTGTGTAGAGTGGTGTTGTTTCTGCAAGAAAAGAAAGGGGAACAAGGGTAAACAATGCTGCGGCTTGCTTTGGAGCTTCGGAGATTTGCATACGAATATGATTTTTGAGGCCATTCAATTGGCATGCGATGCTGTTAACAGAACAGGGTGTTGTAGATGTTAGCAACAGCCAGTTGACCAGTGTTTTTTATAACAGTTTCAAACGGTTGTTCACGGTTATCCAACATTAAGATATCGCCACAATTGCGGTTTATTTGTTAAATACTCTCCACACTTTCTTCGGTTGGTTATCAAATTTAACATTTATTATGCACATATCACCCAGTATTTACAAATATAATCCAACCGTTGGCTTTATGACCATCATTAACTGGCCAAATAAATGACCACAATTGCCTGTTTTCGTGCTCATAGTGTCAGCTAGCGCTAGCACACACACTCGGGCGAAGAAAACTGCATTTTATGTAAAGCAAATGAAAACTCGCGCGCACCAAACAGGAACCACTTTCTATTTTCACTATAACAGTACTCCTCCAGCTGAAGAGACAACTCCGACACCGAGACCGAGACCGAGACCGAGTCCGAGTCTGAGTCGGAGTCCAACAGAGACGCCAACGCAGTGGTGGCAGTGGCAGGTTTTCCACACAGTGGCTGCACTTTACGAGCATCCCATTAATTTTTGAGTGTTTTAGGGGGTGTGGGGGGCTGGGGATCTTACATTTAACAGTGGCACTCTAGCATGACAGTGCTGTTAGCAGACGAGCGTAACAGATGCGCGGGTTAACAGCGAGCTAGCGCTAGAGCTTAACAGAGCTACAGTGGGACGGATCGGACTTGCGCATGCGTCCGCGTGCCGATAAAGACTGACAGCTTTCACACAGCCGCCAGAGCTGGAGCTCGCGCTTGCGCTGAAGCTGCTGCTCCGCTGCCGTGTCTGCCGCTCTGCCGCCTTGGAAAAGTAAGCGGTCTTTGGGTCTCGACTCTGCCGCGAACGCATTTCACTTGCTCCGGAGAGCAGCATCTCCCGCTTCTTCTTTTTTTGGACTCCAACTCCGGCGACTCCAAAGACTCCAGCGCACGGTGAATGCTTTCGGCTGGCAGTTTTACTTTTACAGACGCCGCATATATATATGGCACTGACACTGACACTGGCTCTGGCCCTGGCCAGGTCTTCTTCGGAACACATGTAAATGGGTTTTTAACAAGCGGCGGCCATAAAATCCATGGATCCACAGAGCAGGAGAGCTCCGAGAGTCGCAGAGAAGCGCCGCCGCCAGAAGAAACCGGCTTGAGCTTGGCGTTGAGCAAGTGTACCATTAACCCACTGAAACAGTAACGGGCACCGCCGCCAACTTTGCCGGGAACACTGTTTTGGAGAAGGCTAATGCTATTTTGGGGGAGGAGAGGAAGTCCGAGTTCAGCAGTGACCCTACACTCGATCGCATTATGCAATCTGCGGTTTCTCTTGGCCTTTATCTCTACTAACTTAATATAGTAAGTGGTAAAAGTCATCGACTTTCAGAGTTCTTTTTGAGAAAATAAAGTTAGACTCTTTAGGAATACTAATGATAACTTCCATTTCAACATAATTTCAACATTAAAATTTATTCTTTTTAAACACCGAATTGCCTTATTTATGACCCAATTGATAGGATTAATGTTTATAATTTACCTGCTACCTAAATAATGAAAACAAGCTCGAATAAGGTACTAAATTTTAAGACATAAAGCCTAGATTGACTTTTTCCTAGGTCAGTGGTAAATATAACCATCACTTGGACGATTTCATCTAAGATATTTCTTGTAAAATTTCTGAATTCTTAAGTCTTTTGTTTCTTTCTTTATTTTGAGATGCTCTTTACCATTTAACTGTTGTTTGCTGGTAAATTTTTATTTGATTTCCTCGACCACTTTCTTCCCTAGGAAATGGCCTGAGATTTGCATATAAAACTAGAAATCTTTGGCAATTAGCAAAAGAGGCGGCGAAATTTCGTTGGTTATTTATTCTTCTCCCTGTTATTTTTCAGTATTTTTTTATTTGCTAATTGCTGGCACCCGAACAAATAAGAAATTCCTTATCAAGCGACTTCAATCGCTGACAAAGAAGACAACAAATGCTTCTGCCTCGGCAGCTGATGGAGCTTGTTTAATGCTCATTGTTGTTGATGTTGTTGTTGGTGAGGTTGTTGTTATGTGTAACTGCCAAATGGAATTGTTTATTGTTGCCGTTTGGCAAGTGAAAGTTTTCTTCTCCAACCGCCACGAATGACTCCCTCCCTCTCCTTGTGCAGAGATGCCGCATATAAGGGCATGCATACTTGGTATCTTCTCCCCTGTTTGCCTTGCTTTGTTTTCTTTTTTAATTAACACAATAAAAGTTATTTGCCCAGCTAGAAACTTTTGTTTTCAACTAATTAGCTTATGATCTGCAGCTCAGCAGCAAATCATGTGAAAAGCACTCGCTCGCTGCCAAGGCTGCCAAGTGAAAATTCAATGAAAAGTCGTGGCAGGAAAGTTGCAACTGGCGGCGGCGATGTCTCCACCAATTGATTGAATGACAATGCGTGACGCCGCTGCTGCTGGCCATATTACTATATATATGTATATACTATCATATATAACTGGTCCAATGGAAACTAGGTGAACCACACTCGGCACTCACATAACTCGCGGTTCCATCGATCGTTCGTTCTAATTCTCCGTAATTTACGTGGCTTACATTTCGAGCCCGATGAGCCGGATATCGACAGGGAATTGTTGTCAGGATTTGAATCTCTGAATCTGAATAGCATCTTACACTTCCTGTACTCTCAAAAGTAAACATGTAATTTAATGAATTACCCAAATTACTGTGCAAAAAGTGGGAGGTTGTCGCACCTTTTGGCTGCACTAATTCGACAATAACTCTCATTGGGAGTTGCGCTTTCCTTGCCATGAACATCGATTGTCAATTAAGAGGGAAGGAAAAAAAAAAGAAAAATCGAAAACGAAATTGCATTACCAGTAATTATTGACTGCATTTTATATTTTCAACTTTTTGGCATTTGCCAAAACGGCCACTGCGTCGAGTCCATTAATTTAATTGAACGCTTTCACAAATCCCCCGTCGAAACTAAAGCTACTCTCTTCCCATTCATATCTCGAAGACTGAGACTGAGACTCGGGCTGGAAAAGCCCCGGGGGGCTAAACTTTTTATATAAATACGACACGCATCTATATGTCTTCATAAGCGTCTTTCGGAGATTTGCTTAATTGAGTAGCTGACAAATTCGTTGGATTTGACAGGGATAGCTCTGGGCTCTGGAGGTCTGAGCTTTCGGGTTTGTTTCCCAAAAGATTGAAGACCCGGAGCCGGGCGCGGTCGCCACCGCAAACACTCTTTTTTTTTTGGTTAACAAAACAGAGAACTCAAACGCGAACTCAACGTGAAATGGAGTTTTATGCGTCGGAATGCTTTTTGTTGTGTGCTTGTCGATCGATTCCGAGTGGTAAAAGTTTCACTACTGCCTCAGTAGATATTGCAGATAGATGCTGTGGGTACACAGCAAAAAATTAAGACCCATGTCTATGTTTATTATCTATGAAATGCTAATTTAAATCATTTATGTCAACATAAAATGTTATATGGTGACATTAAGGAATTTATATGGTATATAGTGGCATTTAGTAGCACTTATTTTGATGCTTACATTTTAAAGCAAGCAATTTAACAAAGACATAACTAGGAATTCATTTTATATTTTTATAATTTAAGAAATGATGACCTCATTAAGCAATTTCTTTAGTTTAAAATACACAAAATTATTCATTTTTCCAAGTGCATTATTTCGAAAATGTAACGGTACCAACTACCACGTTTCCACTCAATTTGATGTCATTTGTGGCCATAGCCGTGGCTGTGGCTTTTGTGGCCGTAAACGATCGATATTATTTGCTATAGTGGCATAGAAATTGAAGTTAGCCCCCCAGTTGCACCTCGATCTGCCCCCCTGTGCGCCCCTGGATCATGCGTAATTAACTACACATGTCGATATCGCGAGCTTTGGATGCTGTGAAAGTGAAATTTGTTCAACACCGACAATGCAGAAGGCGAGGGACAGAGCAAAGCGAAAAAATGTTAACAGCCAAAGGTTTTTTTTTTTATTTTCCTTTTTTTCTTCTTATTTTCTTGTAAAAGGGGCAATTTACTTTCGTTTGAGTGTGTGCCTCTCGGTTAACTGGGCTTTTTTATGGCTATTAAGTAACTCTGTTTTTCTTTCGTACAGATCAGCGGCGGCAGATGGCAACCGATTAGCTCTGGAGCGTGCTCCTCCGCTCGGAGATGTGTTGAAAGACATTGTTTTCAGTGATGAAACGCTCATCATCGCCATATATGTTACTTTACTAATTTAATTTTCTTCCTATGGCTTTTTAATTTGCATCGGTAACTGTTTCAGTTAGTGGTTCGTAAAACTTAATGGTGTGATTAAATTGGTTTGGACCTGCGTTTTGTCATAGCTTGTATAATATTTTACCAAGAATTTGGTAATGATTGTGGTCATTAAAAATTAATTATTATAAGAAATTGATTTTGTGAAGGGTATATCGTAAAAGCTTGTTTTGTGCAAGGAAATTAGTTTTCACAGGATTTTATTCATTTTTAACCTATTTTATCCCTTATTTTAAGGAAATTATATGATTTTAAGACAAACTACGAAGATAAAAATTACAATAATATTCGTTTTATTTATAAAGCAATCTATTTTAACGCACCTTTAAGATTTTTATGCAATATTTTCACTTTTCGCTTCAAAGAAAACAAAAGACTTAGGCAACGAACTCGCCCACTTGCCACTTAAGTAAACAGCGCCCGCAGGTTTCTTATGTTGCTGTTTGTCCTCCGATAAATTCAGCCACACATTATGCAAATAAGAGCAAACAATTTATTTT